GAGGAAGCTCAACATAGCGCCCGCGATCAAGAAGCAGCCCTTCAACAGATCCTTCGACGGTGGTTCCGGTTCGCCCCCTTCCGTACCTACGAGTACTTACTATTACACGAACGGTACGGTGATCGTTAATTGCGCATGCGACACGCGCTTGTAACAATGCGTCGCGAACAGTCGGTAGGAGCATAAGAGACGGTATTTCTAATTGTTTCTCTCACTCTCTGTCTCTCTCCCTCTTGTCCGCATGTGTGCATAGGTATGGGTCTCGCTTATCAGAACGGCATGACATTCTATAACACGGCAGCTCCCGCACCAGCAACTTCCATTGCTCCACCGACGGACCCGGGAACGATTTATCAAGCTACGGGAGTGTTCGGTGAGCATTATCAACGAATTATATGCACTCGCGTTCTTTCGCGCTTACTTGAAAATTGCCATGCACACTGAGAATAAATTAATAATTTGATAGATATATCCATCCGAACCGCTGGAACTTGCGCATCCCCGCATTCGAAAGTTAGAACCAAATTTAGGCAGCGGTCAGATCTCTCACGTTAATCATGGATTACGGTTATTTTTGTGTTAAAATAAACGTAAATTGAGAATAAGCTTGTGAATCAGCTCGAATTCATAACGGGGCGTTTTTTATATTTGGATACTTGACGAGTGAAAGCAGTGAAATGATGAAAAGACGTAAATCGCACGCGTCTGTTGAACTTGTCGGCAAAATTATACGATCACAAGCCCGAGGGCCGGCTGTTCGAACTTCTTGGTAAGTTAACTGATAGGGTAAATCATATATCTGTCTTTGGCTAAGTTGAAGGAAAAACAAAGATAACCACACGATTCAACTGTCAGTTAACTTACTAAGAAGTTGGAACAACCGGCCCCGAGTGTGTTTCGATTCAGAAGAGTATTAATAGCCGCTAAAAACAAGGGAAGCACTCTTGCAGGCAAGCCCTCTTGAGGATACAAACGCAGACAATTTTAATCCAGGATGTTTATTGTTGATTTTATGGTGACCGACGACCCAAATGTTATGTCTAGGTCCTCAAGCCGCTACCGGCCATCAAACGTTCGCTCCTGTGATGTATCCATGCCCGGCACCGTCGTTGTATATGCCGCAGCAATACCAGTATTCGCCTATGCCGGTATGTAAAGAACATCGATGGCTTATCAGCCATTCTGCTACACTGCTCTATCCTCTTTGATCTTTCTCCTTTCGTTTGGAAGAGTCCGCCCGCCCCCAGGGTCTTCCCTACACATGTATGCGCGCACATACACACGTAGATACTAGCATTAAGATCCTGTGACCGTCTTCTCTCTATCTATTTCTCTCTCTCTCTCTCTCTCCTCTCTCGTCTCTGTATTTTGTATTTTTATTAAACGGTATATCGGTTACGGTTTGACAGACAAACGGTCTGATGGGGGAAGCCATACCACCGGCGTTTCTACCCAACCCTCAGCAAATGCCTACTTACGTCCTTCTCGACGCTATACAGTATTGAGGTCTAAAGGTATATGGTCTATGCTAAGCGACTCGAGCATGCCGCTCGTCTCATCTCTTGAGCGTCTTTTCTTTTTCTGTTGTTGTGCAAAGCCTTTCACACGGCCTGCCGATGCATGTTCTCGTTCAAAGCCTTTTTTGTCTCACGGATCTGTGACTCGTGCTCTCATACACATTTCTCTTAATAATGAATTGTGATTAAGTGTTGTGCGAAGGAGATGTGTTAAGGCGCTTTACCGATTACTTTTGTACCCGTACTCGGCATGAGAATGTTTGCTTCATTTCTCGCATATCGTTGTTCGTCTCTCTCACCTTCTGACACCAGTAGTAGTCGCCACACCACGCGGTCTTCTCGCACGCGACGCGCATTTACTGAAACCACATCCTCCCGCTGTTTAATATTGTCGCGATAGATTGTCCCTTCGAACGGAACTCTTCCGACACACTCAGGAGAATAGCGCGCGGAAATGGAATACATCGAAAAGTCATTCTCTCAGTAGACCATTTATCGAGAAGCGCGTTTATTATTTACATAGGCATGTGCGTGATGTAGAGTTATGAATGTCTTAGTTTCACGATTTTCTCGGTTTCTTTCCTCTCTCTCTCTCTCTCTCTCTCTCTCTCTCTCTCTCTCTCTTTTTCTTTCTCTTTCTGCCTTTTTTTTTTATTTTTTTAACGTGAGACGCAAGTATACTTACGAGACGATAGAACGATTCACTTTGGACGTCGACCGTCAATGAAGTTATGCCGTGTAGTAATTAACGCTTCGTTCATCGATGTAAACCCCGGAATGATTAGTTTCTCACACATTGTGCTCTCTTCCTTAACTTGGAATGATTTAGGAAATGACAGACCTTGTTACTCGATATCGACACACACACACACACACACATATACACGAATCAAAGTGTACAGCCTCTTGCTTGGCTTACACATAGAATCACAATATACAGACCTATTACTTTCATTATGAATATACCGCTGTTCTCGTAAGTGTCAAATTAAAATTTACCAAAGTGTGCGGGCGATGTACGTATGTTGATTCTTAATTATAGAAAAGAAACTAGAATCAGACCAATTAACTGTAATACTTCGACAGACCACGTCACATAGTTATTTTATTTGTCGGTTATTTGGATACTTTATTTTGTTGTCGGTTATTTCAATGGAGCTTTTTTCGTACGCCATATACGGAAAATTAACTAGATCCAACCGTCAGACTGCTCAAGGAGACGCAAGTGTGACTTGCACAATTGATGGAGCAGGTGTCAATTCCTTGCAATATGATACGTTACGTTTAAAAAAGATCGATAAGAAAGTTTCGCACGTGGCTTCATACGGGGTAAAATAAAAATAAATGAAAACAGATGTTTCCGGACGGACAGGAGTTGCGCGCGTGTATCGAACGTTCAGAAAGCTACGTTCCGAAATAGCGAGAGAAAGCCAAATTCTGAGTTATCGAAACCGACGTTCGTAATCTCGGCAGATTTCTTGTCTCATTTTACGGGAACAGCTTGTGAGAAAGACGTGAGGAACCGCACTCGCGTCGAGGTACTCGATGTTCATACTCGAGCGCAAAGCGCCGTGAATGGATACTCAAAGCATCCTCGTGTTCTGTCTACAGTACGAAACATACTACGCAGGAGCAACCGCCGCTGGGGCGCCCCAGTACTTGTACGCTACCGGCAATTCGCAGAGCAACACGAGCGGTGGCGGAAATAATTCCGGCAGTGGCAATAATGGTACAGGAGCAACTAGCCCGCCGACGGCGGGCCCACCGCCGCCTCTCCCATCTCTGCCTCCTCCACCTCCGACGCACTTTTACGCTCCTGCTGCACCGCCCCCACATCATCATCCACCGGTGCCCGCGGGCCCGCATCCTCCCCCCGCACAGGTGGATCATCTGTACTACTCTTTTGCAGCTGGCCCGCACCCACCGCCCCCGCCGCACGCACCTATGGGACTGACCGAGCAGCAGCAGCTGTTGTTGTACACTACGGATGCGTCGTGTCAAACCACCACGTCTGACGGTCAGGCTGTTCCGCAGGAGGTGAGTCTCTCACCGTCATCTACTTTCTCTCATCGTCGTCACTGTCGATTCTACGTCGACTTACGTACACACGTTTAACGTTAATCTCGCGATCGTCAACTCGCCGAGCGAGCCTCCTCCTCTGATGCTCGATGTCTCTTTTCACCCTGTTCCGTTTCTTCTTCAGATGTCTCTTTTTACGTACGTCGCTACGTAGAGTCGCGCATCACCTTCTGTCGATGTGCACCGGTGCAACGGATGGTGCGTTAGTAGTCGCTGTTAACGGGTGAACAACGGGTGATGATTACATTCGCTTCGAGGATTTATTCGATCAGTACTCTCGGTGGGGACGGGGGGATTAAACGTGATGAACGACGGCGTGTGCGATAATAAAAACGCGGACGAGGTCGGTTGTAAAATCGTTGCGCGCGTCTGAAAAGATCTCCGCCACGATAGACGCGTTGCGCGGTCCGCCGCGAGTCGTGTTCTTTTTTTCTCTTTCTTTCTTTTTTACTTTCTTTCCTTACCGCGTGACAGGCAGCGTGTATCTCATTGAGCGGCAAGTCTATCTATCTTGTGCAATATAAAATCGTAGGATTCACGTCCGACGCCGAGCCACTCGGAGCATCAGCACGGTGAGGCACAGGCTGCCTCAGGCTCAGCCGCAGCGACGTCTCTGGTATCCCTAATGCCCGTCAAATTCCCCGTGTCCGGTCGTTACGCTAATTATCAACCGATCGCGATACACACCGCTGCCGCCAATTTGCACGGCGCGCAAAACTGCTCGAGCGATTCCGACGACTGCACCGCCGCCAATGCGTCGATGCATTGTCGCACGATCGTCTATCACCCGGCCACCGTGTACATTCCACACGCACCGCCGTCTTATCACGGCGCGTCCGGCACTGCTAGCCTACTGCCGACCCCGTACTCAGCGAGCTCGTCGTACGACGGCAGCAACGCGAAAACTCACGCTCATCACAACTCGAGAGATGGTGGTGGCGGCGGCGGCGGCAAGTACACGGCGGTCACCGGCGGTCAAGGGGGTAACTACGCGAAGGGGGGTCAACAGAATCACGGCTATCATCCGTTAGCGCATCATCAGAACACTCACGGCAAGTCGCAGCACACGCAGGGCGGTTCGCAGTCGCACAATCACAGTAATAACAACAACAACAACAACAACGGCAAATGTAGCGGCAACGGGGCGACGGACGGATCGCATAAATACCAGGCGATGGCGATGTCGCGACTACCAATCCCGTACAATAATAAGAGAACGGCTGGATCGAACGTGGGCTCGCCAGCTGCTTGCTTCCTCAAGTCCGCCGGCGGTGCTGGTGGCGGCGGAGGTTACGGGTCGAACCAAAACGCGCACAGAGTCAATCTCACGGCGTCCAACTACGGCGCGCACAACAAGCCAACGGTGAACTACATGAACGCGAATGTGTCCGGTTACGAGCACGCGACCAACGGGCGCAAGAGCTACGGCAGTGACGATCAGACTACGTACTATGAGATCGGCAAGCCGATGAGCGGCTCTTACGGCTCCGGTCGCAAGGGCGGTTGCATGTCGAATAACAACGGATACAGAGGAGGAGGAGGAGGAAGTGGTGGTGGTGGTGGTAGTGGTGGTGGTGGAGGAGGAGGAGGAGGAAGTGGAAGCAACAGCGCCCGGTTAGACGCGCTCGTAAACGACAGCAACGGTCGACCTAATAACGACGTCGGGTACGATGCCGCCTCTCAGACGGCGGATGGCATCGCTACGACGACGCTACCCGCTCACCTGTCCGCGGCCAACAACGCGAGCGCGGACGCTCAGGAGAAGCTGACGGCGAGCCCACCGCCAGCCCCCTATTCACCCATGACACGGCCCCTTCCAACTGTCTCACCGCCCAACCCCCAGGTCCAGTTTTACTCCGCACCGACTCAGAACCGTTATCAACAGTCCTCAACATCCATACCTCCCTCCCATCAACAACAACAGCAGTCCATCGGCGGTCAACAGCAACAACGCGGCCGCTACTCGGTCGCTCAGACGATATCGTCCTCCAACCGGAAGCCGTCCGACAAGTATTCGAGCACCGGCTCGCAGACCACGACGATGCTGCGACAGCCCAAGTACAAGGTGAACGGTATAATGCAGTCGACGGCGACGGCTACGACCAAGCTCAACGACGACAGTCTTGGAGGCGCCGGCGATGGCCCGACGGCGGGCACGGTCAACAGGATGCCGATAACGCCGCCCGGCACACCGCGCGGTCACCCGGCGGCGGGCGATCAGATGGGCGATCAATTGGGCGAAACGTGCCATCAGATGCAGGCGCTGACTCTATAGACGCTTCCCCGCCATTTCTTTCATGTCTTCGCCCTCTTTGTTGTCTTCTTATCGAGAGTATGTTATCTTAGGAGAGCAGAGAGAGAGAGAGAGAGAGAGAGAGAGAGACCACGTGCAACCTAGAACGACGGCTACAAACTGTGAAAATAGATCGACGCGGAATTGACACGTACATATACACATACACACGTACATACGCATTGCACACTTTACACATGCAAATACGCTACGGTATAATATTCTCTGGTGATCTCAGACTCAACATGCAAAGCTAACTAAGACGTTCGCTGTAGAAAAATGGAATCTTTCTCCGGTTCTTGATCGCGATGGCTAGCCGATCCGCGGAGAACGATCCTGACGGATCTGACACGCATGAACGCGATAACGATATACAATATTGTTAATTGTTACACGATGATTGATGAAAAGTAGGGGCGAGAAAGAGGTGGGGGGAGGGGGAGAGAGAGATATATACAGACGGAGATTGTACCTATTATAAAAGTTCGCGCGAGTTGAAGTGATAATCTTCAATGGCAAGTGCGTAGATAAAAGGATTAAGAGAGAAATAAAACTTCTATAGGTATATATACGCGCAAGTACGATGCGTCATTTACATACACATCTACGTTATATATTACATACCGTATAATATTACATACTATTACAGTATCCGATGTTATATGCGTGATAGGCTCGACAAACCATGAATCTCGCGAGCAAGGCTAGATTAGTTAGCAAAAGATAGAACCGAGAAACAAATGAAAAAAAAAAAGAAGAAAACAAATAACGTTGTTATCGTACAAAGACGAACGATTTTGTCATGTGTTCAAAAGAAAAAAAAAACAAAAGAGTAAAACAATGCAGAGAAGGATAACAGGGAGGCGAGATAGGGTTGATTTCATAAAACGGTTGCTCAAGGCACTGCCACATCTCCATGATTTTTCATTTTTTACCGCCAAGGACGGTAATCCGTACTTATAGTTTCTCTCTCTCGTTAGAGTAACCGTGAATATATATACATATATATTTCATCACGTAGGGCGGATTAATAATACAGATTTGTTGTTCTTTTTGTTGACAAATTTTCCGCGCAAAACGTAACGTGTTGTAGCTGTTAAATACGAGAAAAAAAAGAGAGACCCAAGTACGAAAGACGAATCGCCCCGTATCCACAAGCGAATAAGGTAAGATATTAAATGAAAAAAAAAATAATAATGAATTAAAAAAATGTGTCGGCTGTGAGCTTCCAAGCAAATAACAATAATTAAATTATTATAATATTAAAGGTTAAATAATATTCTACCTAATTGTTACGAACGTGGATTTCTTTTATCTATAAATGTGAAGTAAATTTGTTATCTCGTATCTCGCATACCGTAGCTATGATTGTCCATTCTAGAGAGAGAGAAAAGAGAAAAAAGGGAGGAAGAGAAAGAAAGAGAGAAAGAAAGAGAGAGAAGGAGAAAGGAAGAGAAAGAGATGGCAACAGAGAAGTAGATGAGGTTTGTAGCGCCGTCATGTAACAATGATACGGCGCACGTTTAGCGGATGATATTTCGATGAACGTGTGGTACGTAGATAATACGATACGCGACAAAGGCCTAGGACGCATAGGGAGAATCTGTGAGTTGTTAACAAAGAAATTAATTTATTGAAAAAAAAGCAAGAGTGCCTTCTATTTGTTTTCGTGATTGTATTGTTGAACATTTGTTGCGTTACGTTCCGAGAGCCTCTAATGTTGTTATAAGAAAAAAAGAGATGTTTGAAGAATGTTGTTCCTCTATTTATTTATTGATTTACGGGCATGCGTATGCTGCCCGACTATATCCAGCGAATTCGGTAGTGTGAGAGAGAGAGAGAGAGAGAGAGAGAGAGAGAGAGAGAGAGAGAGAGAGAGAGAGAGAGAGAGAGAAAGAATGATGCTGTAATAAGGTATCGATAGCGATGAATCATAGTGAGAACGAACGTGAAAATATAGCAATCGAGTCGCATAATAATTGACGTTGTTGTCATGTCTATGAAAGAGAGAGAGAGAGAGAGGGAGAGAGATTGGAACGAGTGCGATGAATTGTTGTGAGTGTGAACCGAATGAATGAATGTGAGATAGACAGGGAGGAAGATAGAAGAAGCAGCTCATTTCGACACCTAGTTCTACGTATTACACAGAGAACGCAGAGAGATGACATCCTCCCTTATAATACATACATATATATATATATATATATATTATATATATACACATGTATACATCTATGTGTGCGTATATATCCATCAGTGGATATGCACTGAACAAAAGTTCAGATGTACACACACACACACACATACACACATATGATATATACGCATACATATGACGTCTTGCGATTATAATATATACCGAAGATATCTAGGGTGCAAATGCGAAAAGAAAGATATGCATACTTATATAGTCGTGTGTATTTGTGCGCGCGCGAATCTGGATAGGTGGCTGTGATTTATTGCGTGCAAGTACAGATTTATATGTAAGCATACGTGTGCTCGTGTATCTATTCACTTACACCATACACAGAACATGCACACAAACACACACACATATACATAAACACCTGCATAATGCATACTTACATACCGCATATTTCACACATACATATATATATGTATATATGTATGTATACACATATACATTATACATATATTATACGTGTACCTATATATATATATATATTCATATATATATATATATGTATATATATATATATGTATATGTATATATATATTCATATATATATATATATGTGTGTATATATATATATATATATATATATGAAAGGAGAAAAGAAATAGATTGTACAGGACAATTCTATGTTAATTTTGGTACGAGCTAATGTGCAAAATGCGAATGAATATTGTCAGCGGAGAGAATGTCAATGTGTGTACTAAATTTAACGTAGAGTAGTGCTGATGATATGATCAATATAAATGATAATATATATATGATATATATATAATATATAAATTATATTTATATATATATATGCATATATACATATATATATATGCATATATATATATAATTTTAACCTAAAAAGAGAAAGAGAATTCTAAGTTAGACGCCTAGCTAGTGCTATGTGTAGCGAAGTATAGGATCTACGAATGTATTATACATGCAGCTGAGATCGTGTGCATTTCGGATCGTGGAATGTCCCAGTTACTTGTCGCATCTCTCCGAAATTGGTACGGGGAGAGGAATCGAGGGAATGCGGGCTCCGAGACAATCTATATTAAGTGTCCGAATGTTATTGTCTCTCAAGGAGATTACGTTGCTTGGTAAAGAATACTTGCGACTATATTTAGTACAAAGGTGCTTTATATTATTAGCGCAAAGTATTTTTCGCGACTTGTTGACGAAATTAGTTATTCGTCACTGATTGGACATTTCAGATAATCAGTAATAAGAATTATTATTTTTTTTTGTTTGGATAAAAGTCTCTAGAAGTTTCCTGATTTATTTGAGACATTAGTAGCTCTCATTGTTCATCTAGCTCACGCAATCGATAAATTGATGCACACGATTCATTGTGTTCTGCCAATTTGTAGAAAAGTAGAATCGATCCGTTTATTTCTCGAAGAAGAAACATTGAGAGGCGTGTTCCACGATCCGTAAAAGGTGCCCGAAGAAAAATTTATGTATTAATGAACATAAATTATACACAAAATGGCATACAGGTAATATCACAAAAAATTATATAAGATTTAAGTACTCTATGGTAATAAAACAAAAAAATATGTTACGCATAAAAAAATGCAAATATCCAAAACAAGATGTTAATAATAATAATATAATAATAATATAATAATAATAATAATAAAAGACAAACATCTGTGCATGGAAAAAATCATAGCTGAGAAAAATTAGTAAAGGGACGATATAGAACGAAACTGCTGTAAATTTCTTCTGCAATTATATAATAATATAACGATAACACAATAATAATAATTGTATATATATATATATATAAACATCTGGTATGTGCACGTATGTATGATTACATACGTATACGCATCATATGTATACAGGTTGTATAATTGCGAACTTCGTCTCAGTTGCGGTTCTTGCGAATCTTTGGAATTGATCTTTCCGTGGCAGAGACATTGAGCTTCCAATAATTTTCCACACTCACAGACAATTGAATTTCACCAAATGAGCAAACGAACATCATACCTTTTTCTTTTGTCCAGTAAATCCAGCAAAATAGCAAAAATACGTGACGTAAAACGTCCACATTTGTAAAAAGGAGTATTGTGCCTAATTAAATTTTTGCTAAGAAAAATTGCTCCAAATCCCTCGGCAGGTCCGTAGCTGAGACGAAGAACGGTAGTTTGAGACCGTGTAATAACTATTAACAACAGTCACAATAGAGTAATAACAGAGTAACTGATAATCAATAGCGAGTCCTATTGAAATAGCGAAATGTGCAAAGCTCGATCGCGTAGAGACTATGTTCGCTCGACAAGTGCAGTAGAATGTACGTGTTCCTGCATGTGCAGGAACCGGTGCATGTGAAACAACCGGATAGGTAAGAGAAGGATCGATAGGAACGAAGTGTTACTCGTTTGGCCATAAATAACAAACTGTATTTTTATTGATACTATAATACAGAGATCGTATAAGTCTCCTGAATGTATGTCTTATTCATGCGACAATTCGGGAATTGAGGATTGCGTCACAAAGTATTCAAGACACGTTTGAGCGTTTATTTCTTTTTCTGTTTTTCTTCTTTTTTTTTTGTTCTCTTCTTTTTGGTAGTCTTGTGGAGAGAATTGGTTTACGGCTACGTTAAAAGAAATGGCACGCCTCCTCAACGATTTATATATATAGTCCGATATACATGTATAATAATGCTACTTCCCAAATCTGCGATCTATCTCTAAATATATATATGAATTGAAGCGGTATTCTCTCTCGTTAACAGACTACACATTAAATACTTCGCGGTATGTCAAATACTTTACTAGAATCACAATGATAATCACATCATCTGCAGGAAAATTATCGTCGGACGTCGAAATTAATCTACGTTGCTTCTAATTCATTGTCATTGACATGTTACGTCCGTTATATCCCGTAACGTAATGGCAATGCTTCGATTATGGCAGTGTGACGGAATTTCAACGCGTCGACTTTACGTCGTATAAGATTCATATAAATCAAGTACAAAGTCTGTAATAATTCTTCTTCGTTTTCGTGTTATATTGTAAAGAAATCCAAATGTGGCAAGAGTTATTTCTGTAAATTCTGACTAATATCTATAATATTGTAAAAAATGATCTTTCATGCTAATATAGTAGGTAAACATCCCTCTGAATATGGAGAAATACTGCGAACTTGTGTATAATAGCGGTAGCAATAGCGGAATGGGAAATCCATATATGAAAAAGAAAACTGCAATACCGCAATACTCTGAGAGCAGTATCAATATATCACTACATACATACAGTTAATCACAATGATACTTTGTCCGATATTTCATTCGTGCTAGTTTTCCCCTTCATCTTCGACAAGTATCAGCAACCGAATGATATTTTGTCTCGCGTACGCGACATCTTACAATTCGGTCGTCATGTGAGATGTTAAGGCCTGGACTCGCGTTGCGTTACAACTCTTGCACAATACATGATCGTCCAACGGGTAGCAACCTCGTCCTTCCAAGTCTGAAGACAATACCAATCCACAATCTTCGCATTTGTAACACTGTATATGGAAACTGCGATCCAATGCCACCACTCGCACGGTCTCGTCCTCACCGGGTTCAGGCATTATCGGTAACTTGCAGACGCAGCAGCGAGGCGCGAATTTCCTGTAAGAAAATACGAATTAGCATGCGCGACTGACAATATAAGATATGCGCGTGAGACTTGAGATTTCCGCGATCGGTTTGAACCAAGAGGAATGTATACTCACTTGTGGAAACACTGAATGCAATGTATTTGATTCGTAGCGTCTACGGTGAACGGTATACCGTCTAAACTCTGGCCGCAAACGACGCAGGTGAAGCACGAGGGATGATATGGTTTGCCGGTGGCTCTCAATATTCTGTCTAATATCGGTCTGATACAGACGCAACACTTTTCCAGGGTGTTGAGATAATTTTCTTCGCAGTAAGGCTTGCCCTCCAACGAATAGAAGGGCTTTCCTTGTAGATTAACCTTGCACACGAAGCAGCAGAAGCAACTTATGTGGAAAACCTTGTCCATCGCCGAGCATCCGGTGCCCTCTCCCTCGACCTTGCGCCCGCACTGAGCGCAAATACCGTAAATGTCACTGTCTTCGCTGCTATCCGCCATCCCTTGAACCAATAGATCCGTGAGGACGTCGACCTGCAATACGAGAAATATTCATTAGATACACTACGCGCTATTGTGCTACGTTATAACTACATTTTTTCGAGGTAACTCAGGTTTATCAAAGTAACGAGATGATTATTCCAATTAAACATCGCCATAACATCGTAACCACAATATCGACCTAACACAAGTTCATGTTTCAGATGACCGAAAATTGTAGTTTTTCCGTCGACTAGCCATAACTAACGTTATGATTATCCTGCGCAATGTTCCAAGGACATTGAAAACATCGCTAACACAACCTGGGAAACAACTACAGGCGCAGCACATCAGTATCAGGTATATATACACGTGCTGATATACGACGTGAAGTTTCGAGACTCACTTCTTTTACGGGGGACACTTTTCCCTGCGGTTGAGTGGACGTGGCCGATCCGTAGCCGGAGTACATCGAGTAGTTGCAGGACAATTGCGACGGCGGTCTGGGATTAATCGGCTCGTATATGGACTCGTATGTCGAGCTCGACTGAGAACTTGGTCCGTAAATGTCAGCGGGATAGTTACTCGACGAGTAGTCGGTTTGGTAAGTGGCGCGTCTCAACTCGCTATAACTAGACGACACGGGACTTGGCGGCGGAGGTAGCTCCTCCGGCGGCGGTGGAAATGAATTGCCCGGTACGCATGGAACGTATTCCGACGGCTCTGGTGGTGGCGGCAAGTCATCTGCAAACAGGAGAAATTTCATGTAATAGGTGCATATTGAATTTCTCGCGAATCTTCCCCCCCTCTTTCTCTCAGAAACTATTCTCAGTCCTTCCGACACGTTTGTTTCCGTATTGCGCTTTTATCGATGCGAATATGATCCATGACTAGTTATGCGAGAACAAACGCGTCGACAGAACCGGACAGAAAAATTGAAGAATTAAAAAATGAAAGAAAATGCTCGTACCATCTGGGCGTCGTCTTAACGTTTCAAATTTGTACTCAACCGATTCGTATAAGTTCTTACCACCGCCGTGCGGAGGAACGTTGCAATATGTGTTCTCTGGTTTAGGGCTCCACTGAATGTTGCTGTATATAATGTCTTTCTCGGTTTTTATCGGCGCGGGAACCGGGATCGGCACCGGCGGCTCGATGTTGCTGTACACTGCGTTCCTGGTTGCTCTACTCGCGCGATCATCCGCCATGGGTACTTGAGGGGCTGGCATGTTCCCGATATTGGAGTAATAGTTCTTCTCATCGTATCTGTACTTCGGCTCGAACTTCTCATCAGACTGACATGCGTAGAAGCTGTCATTGTTCTGATAGAGTTTCGACGCCTCTTTGCCGTTTGCGGGTACCATTTGCGAAAAATCATTCTGTATATCCAGTGGAGCATACGGTGACGGTGTATTCATGTACAAATTAGTAGTCTTCTCATTGGAGCCTGCGTTGTTCAAAACTGTGCTGTACGACGGTGTAGGTGGGGTCTTGATGGTGTAACTTTGCGGTATCTGGAACATGCGTATAAAAAGATATCTCAGATATCTTGATCATCACATCACAAAACTCCATGATAAGATATATTGAATTTACCATAGTGGCATCCGCGTGCGAAGAACGCATACGAGAGAAGTATGAAATATGTTAGTATACAATGACAAATGTTAGGTTAGTTTGCAGCAGCAGAAGAAGCATAGAATTCACCTGAGATTGGGATCTTTTAGGCTTGGGCGGCACCGCAGGCCCGACCTTCTTGCCGGGTTTGACAGTCTTGGCCGCGTCATCGCCATGGTTGAGTTGCAAGTTCGCGATTTGTTGCTCCAAATTACCTACGTTTGACATTTTTCTGCAACACAACAAGTCACGTTAGTCGAGACGTTTTCTGTCACACGCGACTATTATCTCTATTCGGTCATACGAATTTTGACGCAGGTGATTATTATTGAAATCGCTGCACCATAATTACAGCTTGAGGGTCTACAAGAACGAGAGGCAAATGCAGCGTTGACTTTGGAGGCCTCGTGCGGCGAGACCACGAACCAACATCGTGCGCGCAAGAGCAGGAAGGTTGAGTCGAGTCAGTTTGACAAGGACGAACAATCGATCGCTGTCCTTGTCTTAGGCCTGGGGCCCTATTCTTGCGCTACTTGCGTATACGTAAGTGGCAAGTTTCGACTAATCGCAATGGAAAATCCATAGAACCGTATTCTTGACAGTCGCAAGTGAAACGTATACGCAAATTATCATTCGCAATGCAACGAATGGGTAATACCATCCGTTTGGGCAAGAGCACAGGCTTTTGCATAACACATAATACATAACACATAAGAGAATAAACCAATTGGTTTTCTTCATTTCCCTCCTCAGGACAGAAATGAAGAACTCTGATTGGTTGATTCTCTTATGCGTTGTGTATTATGCGTTATGCAGAAGTCTGTGCTCTGACCCTTTCTCTCGAAACGTATGTGATACGTTATGCAAAGTACAGAAAGTGGAGTATAAGAGTACACATAGAAGCGCACTGTTATTAAGAAGAAGAAGAATAATTCAACGCTAAGACGGCTAAAAGAGTGGAAAATAATAGCTGATTTTACATATCCGTAAGAGAAATAATAAATACGAAATTTAAGAGAAAATAGCATATAAATTTCATTGCATTTTAATTATAGAGTAAAATTGTGTAACAATAATGGATTTAGACGATATAATAGTTAAACATACCAGTTATAAATGCGCTAGAACATGCTGAAATAATGGAAGAATCAAGAAGATTTTTCTATATTAGTTCCATATTAGTTCCATATTTTCCACTTTGTTCTGCTGAACGCAGCCAATTAAAATTCATCGTATCGTATTTTTGGTCGGTATCTGCAGAAAGTGCATATGTTTTCCAATGTTGTCAAACGTAATTAAACGCAACGGAAAGCGTATACGTAAAGTTGCGTATAGATTCAAGAATAGGGCCCCTGGTCTACAATACGTGTTGTAAGCTGTAAGTCGTAAGAACTGATCAATTATAGCCGATTATTTTTGTAATAATCGACTGTGATTCGCCAATTCTTACGGCTTGCAGCTTACAACACATATTGTAGACCAGGCCGAACTCACTCGGGCATTTCGCCGGCCGATACTCGGCAAGAAAATGCTTTCCAGGCTTTTGGGCTTTTGGCGAGAGAGCCAAGCGTCGCAGCGACTTACGTGCAATACCATTTTACAAATTGACGTATTTTGTCTAGCTGACGTTATATATCACCGCCAAATTATTATGGCATGTTCCTTATATTATTCCCGAGATCCCCCCCACAAAGCCAGATTTTGCCGTTCCGACCGTTAAAAATTTATAAAAAATAAATGAAGCGTCCGCCGTACCAAGCATCGCAGCGAATCACTCGAAAAATTATTTTGCGAGATGCAAAATTTCGCCTCGTCGACGATACGTATAATTGCCAAACTGTTATAGCATCTTCCTCGAACTATCCCTGAGGACCCTATACAGAGTCAGACTTTGCAATCAGGCCGTCAAAAATTTAGAATATCTAAATAAAGCATCAGCCGTACCAGAAGTTGCAGCGAGTCAGGTGGAATACCATTTTAGAAGAAGCAATATTTTGCCTTGTTGATGTAATATATGACCGCCAAATTATTATGGTATCTTCCTTGAACTATCCCCGAGAATCCTACAGAGCCAGATTTTGAAATCAGGCCGTCAAAAATTTATCATACATTAATAAAGCGTCAGCCGTACCAAGCGTCGCTGCGAGTCACTCGAAATAACATATTTTACGAGATACAATATTTCGTCTCTTTGACGATACGTGTATTATCACCGAATTGTTGCAGCATCTTCTTCTATTCCGTGTTATCTGCACCAAAGCATATTTTGCCACGCAGACATCATATTCGCTTATCAGACTTACATAGGCATCTTCCTTATATTAGTACTAGTATCTAGATCGGTACAGAGCCCGATTTTGCATTTAGGTTCTTGAAAATTTGTAATAAATGAAAATATAGGCTCGTGCTGCACCGCGGGATGGAGGTTCAATTATTTAATCGATTTTTATTTCGACTTTTTTTCCAAAAAAGCGCACTGTACGACCCTTATACGGACGTTTCTCTTGATTGCAAATATCATACATATAAGGTGATTCTCTTTGTATTTTGTTCATAATTCGCAATATAATTTTGCCTAGTTCGCGGGTCTCCGCGAGAGGTCTCTAGTATGGCTCCTGTAGACCCTTTAAAAAAAATTAAGAAAAAGAACTCACCGCGATCCGATTAACAGAGGCCGATTGACAGTACAACGTGCAATGGCAACGACCTCTGCTTAAAAGTCTGACGTTTGCTCCTTTTTATCTACACTTTCTGCACTTGGAGTGGAAACGGCACTAGACTCACGCTCTCTTCGAAGAGAGTCGGAAGTGTAGAAAGTATAGTATAAAGGGAACGGCTCATGGCCAAAGTAATTTAAGGTCCGTATTTCCTGCCATTACGATTCTCATTTCTCTCCCCGTACATTATCGTGCTCATGTTGTACTTTACTTTACATTCATATCGTTTGAATAACATGTGAATAACATGTGTCGCCAAAAGACAAACAAATATGCTACGGAACATCGCGCAGAACCCTTTGTTTTTCACGTGGACTCGAAAAATGACAAATTTTCTACGTTTAAAACCCCACGAAAAACTCAGCATTTTTAAGAAGAGAGGGAGAGAAAAAAAAATCACAGAGAATAAAACGGCGGCGAAAATGCAACAAGGCTGCGTGTTTGGGAGCGAGCTATCAGCGCCATTAGTGTATTCTATCTTTGTTGTAGGATGTAATAAATAATAAAGATAGAATACGAACGTCTTTTAGAGTGCTGATAACGCGCTCGCTGAACGCAACCTAAAAGGCACGGACGAAGACATGACTCACGCGAGACGTCGGCGTCCGGTGTCGAAGAATCGCGTTATCGCGAGAAAGAACTCGGTTCGGTTATACTTGTAACCTCTATCAGTAGCATAGGCACGCGACGATTGCATAATAATTTTTTTCGCCAGAGAGATGTACTTATATATATATATATATATCTGTATATCGATAAATTGCTCGATTAACGCACAATACCTGCTTGCACTTGTCCCCTCGTTTTCGGATTGTCCCGCAATGACTGAGGCGTGAATGCACGCGGACGGAGGGTCTTCCTGCTTATGCACGGCAGGATTTTCGTACTTTTCGCCGCTCCGAATCCGCCGCAACGACACCAACACACAGCCTCGCGCGTGAACCGTGTGTACGGCAATTCGGTGGCGGAATATAAGCGCGACCGCGCGCCGGCAAGTGTGATCAACTTACTCTCCGATTGCGCTCGACGCGACACACCGTGCACTCTCGTCCATGACTCTCACGGCTCACGGCCTGAATTCACCTGAATCATCCCGAAAGTACTGCCGCGCGACACGCGCGCTGCGCGAATATACGGATACCGTATACTCTCCGTATCTGTCTGCGGGTCTGTGTCTCCCGAACCGGCGGCGGCGGCGGCGGCGGCGGCGGCGACGACTTTCGCACCAGTTCGGAAGATCGGAGCAGGGCAGCGGCTCGAGTAGGACGACAAATCTCTGCTGTGTAGGAGTGCACCTGCATGCGCCAAGTTCGCGCACGGCTATTGTCTCTCACCGTGACTCACCGTGACTCTAACCTCTCAAAAAATGAAAATTACACTTTATATACTCTTCGAAATGTCCCCGTAATTTATCGATGGCGGACATTGCAAAACTCCCATTGTAACACCGGAGATTGCGTGCGTTTTCCCTCACTATGCTACATTTTTTATCTCAAGTATTTTCGTAAGATGTGTAAAAAAGGCTGCCGAATAAATATGAATGTACACACAATTTGTCAATTTAGTGACTGAAAAAGGATTATCGTGCAAGATCCTTTGCTTATTTATTGTGCTAGAGACTCGATCACTATGTGTATTTGAGAACGTCCCTAAAGAGGAATAATATATTAGGTCCGTTCTTTTTTTCAAAAGGCTTCTGAAGTGCGGTAAGTTGGAATGACACAGATATATCTTCTCTCATTCCGACTTATTGCATTAGTGTGCACTGGTTAAAAAATTCTTTAAAAAAGAACAGACCCATTGTATATATTTCTTATCGAGGATACATCGATCGATACTTCGGCTGATTGATTGAATCGAGAAGAAGTACTCTTTGCATGCCGGATACCACGTTTCCACTTTAGTCCAGATTAGATTTAATCTGCGCGCCATTGCCTCTCCTCCTGAACGATGTATAATTATATATGTATATATATTTTATGTGTAATGGTAATCTCGAAAACATCGATGATTCGATAATCCTACGATCGAACACGATTGTCGTGAAATCTGTATCTTTGAGAAATAATTAAATAATAACGTCAATGCCAATATATATTCAAAATCAAGATTTATTTTATCAACTTAAATAATGTTACATTTAATAGATTTTAAAATTTCCCTTTGAACGTAGAAAAGATTTGTGACGACAACAATATCAGGGTCAAATAATTCCTACGATTGTTTGAATTGATTAAGATTCGTACAGTGTCTTATCTTGTACGTTTTATCGATCGAGCGTTTAATTTAAACGGGACGTCTGGTTTTTGCGTCATCGTTGCAAAGCGGAATTTACGTATGAGAACTGACCAAGCTCGAGCGGCTAAGCGCATTATCAAAGATTGCAAAGCGTCAAAAGCAAGAAAAAAAAAATACGATAATAAATTAAACGCTTCTGCCTCTATTCAAGCGTTCTATCGACTTGCAGTTTTATGACGAAAGGAAAATCTTGTTTGTATCGTAACTTATGGAACGAGGAATTACCATTGCTCATATTCTCCGAATGTCGCGTTTGACTTTTCCTTGTACGGGTTTACCAAGATGAGTCATGAATGTCACAGCGTTACGATTACTCCTTAGAATCGTAGATACATAAAATTTGATATTTACGAATGAAATAAGAATTATATCGAATGATATTAATTAGAAACAAAACAGCAATATATGACAGCATCTCGCTCGGAAAAATTAAAATTTTTATCGAAATGTGTTGAATACTTCGATCTCCGTAGTGAGCTTCGTGTGGAAAAGAAGCGCGTGAATTTTCTCATCAACTTGATGTTTAATCTGGCTGTTTTATCGCGTCAAAAATTGTAAATATCTTCGGACAGCTCCTGGCTGTTCAAAGTTCGCCTAAAACTGCAGACCCTCTCTGCTTATGTAATCTACACATTATAAGTAGAAGAAGAATTACCACACTTTGACCAGAGTAATAGGACTGACAAAAAGAAGTTATCGTGTCAAAATTATCTTACCTGCATTTTGTCACCGCCGTAATTCTCGCGCGAATGTTCGCCAACAGATATGAGCTAATATGCGAGTGGAAACAATATTTTTATTATCACTCATTTCTCGGTGGTTTCCTGCTGGCGCATTGTATCAAATTTAAAGCCTTCCGGATACGCTGCATAATCAATTATTATTTAACGGCGACGATGCATATTTTTCTTTCATTGCCCTGCAACCGCAAGATAACTGGCTAATATTCTATTGCGTTTGTACACGTTACGTCTCATTATTATTTCTGCGCGAAGACGCGCTATTATTATGTTTGCAACTTTGTTTTGTGCTGTTTAAAGTTTGGGTTTGATTACATAATAATATCTTTTCTTTATTTCTCGCACGACTAATAGTGAGTATAGTAAGTAATAAATATTAAGTAAGTAGTATCATCGTGCCTGTATTGTTTTTTTATTTATTTTTAATAATTCCTTTTTACTAATTTCTTTTTAATAATTAAAATACTTTTCATCGTTATAATCATTTATTGTATGCCTTTCTAAATATCCTGTTACATTATTCAAAATTCGGTGTTATCAAACAATTGCATGTTTTTTTCTTATCTTTTTGTGTAACTGGATACTAATTAAATGGCAATAAAAATACCATCGTGTGTTGTGTTTTAATTTATATTAGTTTGTCTCTGCGTGATGTTATCTCGTGATGGTTTTCTAAATTTATTTTCATTTACAAAACAACCGTAATCAGGTAATGCGATATGCCGGAAAAATGAATGCGTCTGACGTATCTAATCATCTCGGTGATTAAACTACTTGTAGATATTGTAGATATTAAGTTACGTGCCGATTGACAAGTGTATGATTTTTAAATATGGTGTCCTTTTGTCGTCTCCGGCATACATGTGCTTTCGTGGAATGTTGCTTTTGACTGAACGTATTGGGGTTTTGTGTTTTATCAGATCGCGTTGTCATTTATATTTGTTGACATTAAGACGATAAAAAGCCGTGTTTTTTCAGCAAGAGGAATCAACGGGATATTCTTGAAGGAATTACAGTAAGGCGTAGGAGAGGAAATTTCGGAAAGGAAATCTTTCGGAGCACGTTTTGAGAAAACGAATTTTTAGATTTTTTTTTAATTTTCTGCCTGTTTCGTCAACAAGAGATACCAACAGCATATTCTTGAAGGAATTACAATAAGACGTAGGAGAGGAAATTTCGGAAAGGAAATCTCTCGGAGCGTGTTTTGAGAAAACGAAGGTTTTAGATAATTTTTTTGCTTTCTGCTTGTTTCTTCAGCAAGAGGTACTAACAGGATATTCTTGAAGGAATCACAGTAAGACGTAGAAGAGGGAATTCCGAAAAAGAAATCTCTCGGAGCGCGTTTTGAGAAAACGAAGGTTTGAGGTATTTTTTTGCTTTCTACTTGTAGATGTGTTCATGGCGGTGCGTTAAGAATCAGCCTTATCTATATCAGCGTCGGTAAAAGTTTATAAGTAATAAAAGATAGGTGGATACTTCACTTTCGTTGCAATTTGCGGGAAGCTATTTTCAGTAGCCGTAAAATGACCAATAAAAATATCTCATTGAGATGAAACTGTCATTATCAGGTAGAGATGCTGATACTCATGACCGGTGTGACTCATAACCGGTTTGCTTCTTCGTGTTCCGTACACTTAGAATCATATCATTCTCTACCATTATTATGGCATTAACCCAATTCCCTCTTTAATCGTAACATCCTATCGCGCCTACGATTATGCACGTATTGCATTATTACAATCGTGTGTACGCCTTATTTAAGTTGTTACGTGGAATTGCGAAGTCGTGATTTAAGATGCTCGGAAGATGCTCCTCGCGAGGGAAGGACACGTTTACTTCGCGCAATTATGCCATAGGCAGATAAACGCGGGGAACTCCCAGGACAGTGTCGCGGCCGTGTTGTAATTCACCACGCGTGCAGAGTGTATACTCGTATAGAATTACGTCTCGAATCTGCACGTTTCGCACCTTTTTTCTTTACGACGCAGCTTATCGCAGCTGTTACGCAGTGATGTAACCAAATCGACCGTGAGAATTACGAAATTTTGTTTTAGAATAAAAATGTCGTTTTTCGTTTTTTTCATATCATAGAGTTCTTCAAAGATGCCTCGGACTATCTTACTTATATCGTAGATTCTTCAATTGACGTGCGATCGATCTCTCAGCGAAAATATCCAAATATAAGATAAGGGAGTTTTTCTTTCGGCTAGCTGACGAATAAAAATAGAAGATATTTCTCAAGTGAAAATTGCGCGAAGCAGAAAATTGGGCGGTAACAATGTATTCCTTGTCTCGCGTACGATTTCTATATTCTAACAAGATGTTATTTTCTCTCCTACAGGGCTTGGAGTACTTACGTCCCTGATGGTCAACCCCTCTCCTCGGATCTATTGGCCAAGTTCGACAAAATAAACGGCTTTCAGCAACTCGTCAGTGAGTGGCGAACGGTGGATCTGGTAGTTTGGTTTCGCTGCGTCGCAGCTGGTCGCAGTCGCGCGAATGATTCACGATCAATGATCGCAGTAGGTGGTATTGATGACACTAAAGCGAACGTGACCTCCGAACAGGCCTACGAATCCCCTCGCTTTGCTGATTTTTGTGCTTCTTCTGCTATCCTCGCGAAGTAAGTAGAAATTCTGTTCCTTCTCTCTCTCTCTCTCTCTCTCTCTCTCTCTTTCTCTCTCTCTCTCTCTCTCTCTCTCTCTCTCTCTCTCTCGCTCGGTATTTCCACACAATGCGACTCAGGATCGACCTGCGATCTATCAATCTGCATCAGTCGAGCGTTGCTTGCTGTTAGTGTTGTGTCAACGACGAATCTCATCTTGGATCACTCGGAGCACTTGGATCGCTGCCGCTTTCCAAACGCTATTACCTAACTTCTTCCACCTTTTCTTTTCCCGGACCATTCGTTACATCAATATCGTGTTCTTTTTATGTCACTCAGTTGCATCACTCTGACATTTGAATTTACTTGACCGCGAGTAAGACGATTTAAGAAACCAGTTGACCTGTTTGTGCCGCAGTTATCAGAATATCTTTTCCAGAGAGCAACGTGTTGATTCATTATGCAGAAAAGTTACGACGTGAAATCCAGCGGCGATGTCACTGTCACAACAGTGCCACATCAGCGTATGCACGAGTCGGAATCTAACAAGGCCACCGAGAACACTTCGCTGTCGCCGAATAATAATCAAACTTACTTTGCCGACGTGAAGGTGCAAGTGCCGGAGACAACGACAGTAAGCTGATCTTGTGTAACCGATAAGTGTCAATATGAATGCAATGTTATTGTTATCCCTATTGCATTTATAATATTATATGTAATAGTGTTTTCTAATGACCGAAAATTCTCTTGCAGGGGGGATTTAGTTTTAGGAAATTATGGGCCTTCACAGGACCTGGCTTTTTAATGTCCATTGCTTACTTGGATCCTGGCAACATAGAATCAGATTTGCAATCTGGAGTGGTAGCAAAATACAAGGTATGCCTCTGATTTTTGCACGATGAGAGCCAAGTGTGCTGCAGTGCACAATGCGCTTCCATTTGTTTTATTACTACTGTGGAACATTTCAGATTTTCTTTTTTTATTGACATCCTCTGTTGATGTATTCGCTTTCAGTTATTATGGATACTACTAAGCGCTACTGTCCTAGGTCTGGTTATGCAAAGACTAAGCGCACGCCTCGGCGTAGTGACTGGTCTGCATCTAGCAGAGATGTGTTACAGACAATACAAAAAAGTACCTAGACTCATTTTATGGATAATGATTGAAATAGCGATTATCGGTAGCGATATGCAAGAAGTAATAGGAACGGCTATTGCCCTTTATCTCTTATCTAATAAAGCGTAAGTGTCTCTGATATGATTGCTAAATATTTGCTAGTAATACAAACAAGCTAACGCGTATAAGATATTCTCGGGAGAATCTGAAACAATTAAAACGTCACTATTTGTCATACTAATTTCCCTAATGCTGGATAAAATTAGTCGCTAGTAGAATGTGAGAAGCTTTCCAACTACACAATATATAGTGGGGATAAACTAATATCGCTCACATACTATACATGTGTAGGTATGTTTATAAACTCCATTGGAAATATCATCGATCAAATTTACCGATGCGCCTGATGTTCTTTAATCTAAGCACGAGTCGTTATCCTTACTTGCTTATGATTTCTTTCTATTTTCTTCTCTTTTACCATGGCCGCGGAATATCTTAGATAATGTGCGTAAATATATGTGCAATGTGTTTGTGATAAAGGAATGCAGACAAAAAACAAGATTAACGACGAGAGCAGTTCGGCCAGTCATATTCATTTCTTATGTTTCAGAATTCCTATATGGGGCGGCGTACTAATCACCGTAGTTGACACATTTACATTTTTATTTTTGGACAAATATGGCCTGAGGAAGTTGGAACTCTTCTTCGGTCTTTTAATCTCAATTATGGCTGTGACTTTCGGCTATGAGGTGAATCAGTTGGAAAATCTTCCGTCGATCGCATAGTTCACGAATGCATGCCGCAAATCCTTAAACAACTCCGAGGTCATTAAAACCGATTTTGGATTTTTCAGTACGTCGTTTCCGATCCTCCTCAATTAGACGTTGTAAGAGGTATGTTTGTCCCGTGGTATGGCGGAATGAATTACGACAGCAAAGTGTTACTTCAAGCTGTAGGAATTGTCGGTGCGGTCATTATGCCGCATAATTTGTATCTTCACAGTGCTTTAGTCAAGGTAGAAGTTAAATACGTACTTAAAATAAAGATTAAAATAAAATTACTAAAGATAAAAGTCTTCAGCAACTCTTCAGCATGTAATGAGATATCTTTTCAATCTTCCAGTCGAGAGATATCGATCGAAGACAACCGGCGAAAATCAAGGACGCCAATATGTATTACTTCATCGAAGCCAGCATTGCGTTATTCGTCTCGTTTGTAATCAACGTGTTCGTCGTTGCTGTATTCGCTCATGGTCTCTTTCAGAAAACTAACAACGATGTTGTGAGTGCAGCGATGAAGATAATCCTAGATTATCACGAGATCGCGCTAGTTACATATATATCTGTTTTGTTTTACAGTATAACATTTGCGAGGCGAGTAATTACACCCTTGGTATGGAAACTTTCGAGGTAAGTACATTCAGTTCCACTAAATTTTTGCTAATGTTTCCCTCGAACATCTGCTAATAGGAAATCTCGCAATTTCCAGAGGAACAATGTCACATTAGAGGCCGATCTCTATAAAAGTGGGGTCTTCCTCGGCTGCTCTTTCGGCGCGGCTGCAATGTACATATGGGCTGTCGGCATCTTAGCCGCTGGTCAGTCCTCGACAATGACCGGCACCTACGCTGGCCAATTCGCGATGGAAGGCTTTCTGAATCTACAATGGGCCCGTTGGAAGCGAGTCCTATTCACCCGGACGATCGCCATAGTGCCCACATTCCTCGTGGCGTTCTTCGCTAACATGAGCAACCTAAGCAACATGAACGATATCTTGAACGCTATAATGAGCTTGCAATTACCGTTCGCCACTTTGCCCACGATCGCGTTTACGAGCAGTGTTCAGATTATGGGTGAATTCCGGAACGGAATGTACGTATAATTTCTTCATCGCTTTCACATTCATCTTCGAATCTTCAAGTGTATATGCAAGTGTGTGTCGCATCTACGTTGCAGAGTCAACAAGATTGTGTCGACTGCGCTGTCGGTCCTAGTGATAATGATAAACATTTTTTTCGTGGTGCAAACCGTTCAAGAGGACTTGCCACACACTTGGCCCGTGTACCTCGGTATGTCCATATACGCGATTTTATATCTAATTTTCTGCACCTATTTGGCTATTCACATGGCTGTGAGCATGGGTGCAACGTCCCTCGGTAACCACTGGGTATGTATATATCTTTCTCCTCGCGCGTGACATATCTCATTTGTCTCGTGTCTTGTGTGATTGATTTTTCACAACTTGTTGATTGTCACAAAACGTTGACCGACGATTGAATTATCAGAGATAAATCTTTTTCTAGTTTGTCACTAAGTACATCGGTGCGCCCGTAAGCACAACGCTCGGTATATCGAATCCTGCAGTTTACGCTAGGTAAGCAGAGTTCTCTAACAATGTTCGTTTATCATCGTAATCATCGTAATTGAACTATCGTCTTTCCTCAAGTAATCACTAATCACGTGTTTGTCTATGTGGCGGAATATTTATTAACCGGGGAGATTGCTAAGCAGGATGATAATACGTATTTCTGTGTATATTAATTGTATGTGTACTAATGTGTATGTATACATATGTATAGATACGAGACCTTTGGTGCGAACGAAGCGTGATTTTATAAAAGAAAGCTACTCTCGGTGCTCACGCGCGTGTATGTCGTACATGTCATGCGATTTGGCGTGCACTCGACATGCGAGTCATGCGATGGTATATATAAAGATTTCCTTTCAGGAAATGCAATAATTACCTCGCACACACATGTGAGTTCACAAACAATTAACAAAACTAACAAAGCATGTTAGGCAGCACGCTGTACAGAATATTTCTCGAGGCGACAAAACAGTACACTGCTGACATCGCGTCCAAATGCGTCGACAAATCTCACAGCATGCTTTGTGAAATGCAAAAGTATATATATTTTCCTGAAACCTGCATGCATGATGAGTGTGGGAATGTTTGGGAATATGATATATCTGCATCACATGCTTCATGTGTTCAATTAATATAAATAATTGATCCCATTTATCTTACCAATCCGGTGGAACCGGATTCAAACAATCCGCACTTGCCTGGCTAAACGCACAAATGAATCATGATCTGATTAAATCGAGTGTTGCGTAAAAGTATTCTTGCGTTAACATCTATGTTTCTCTTTTATTAGGAAAGCATACTTTCTAACTAGTGCATGCGCTTCAACATTGAATGCATAATATTAAGCAAATTTTTTTCACTTCCATATCATTGCGCAAACTGTAAGGAGGATTTTCAGTAGCGATAAGTAAAAGTTTATCCTTCAGAGTGGGTCAGAGTATATAATCCGTTATTTATTAAATAAATTGAATTAAAAATTAAAAATACTATGCTTATATTGCCAATCTATATAAAGTACTTCAGCAAAAATTTGAATAACTTTGAATGTATTATTATATAAAATTAACTACACACACACACACACACACACACACACTCTGTTGTACATGCTGAAATGTGTGACTCAGACTGAATTTTCTTCATTCATAGTTTCCACAATACGTCAGAAACCTCATTAAACGCTTAGTGGAAGTAATGCGATTAAATGTACGAGACAAGTACGACTTTTGTGTCCCAACGGAAACATGCAAAAACAATGTCGCGTTGGAAATGTGCTTGTAACAACTCGTGACGTCAGCATGATGTCTCTTGGTATGTGCCATTAGATATTATCTCGATATATTGACGAAAATACATTCCTTCGTTACGTGGAATAGATAATGATATTTCATTGTTATGATATGGTGTTTCATCATTGTTAATGGACGATAATTCGTTTGTTTCTTACCCATCAATTGCTATCAGTTTTTGTTTGGTCCTATTGTTTGGTCACTGATGTGCTTACTTCAAAAGAGAGTTCATATAAGATAAGTGATTAACCAACAACTTTCATTGCATGCGAATTTAACACACGAAAAGTTTGAGTTCACCACACTGACTGCATTATCTCGAGGTCATAACTGAGGTAAGAATGAACACAGTTAAGATTCATTCCATTCATTGTCTCGATATTGATTGAAATCTACTTCAGCTAATTACTACTTTAATTATAATAAATGTCGAGAGTATATAAATATGTTGAATATATTGCAGAACAAACCCAGCATTTACCATACAGGAAAGTTTGGGTGGCAGTTTCACATCTATACCAGAATACTAATTTGTTAGTAATCAACATATTGGTAACGGATGCATAAGCGATAGCGTGCGTACGTGATAATCAACATCATTTCTGTTCAACTACATTCAGTTATACAGGACGTAATTGAGGGAGGAGGTAACTGATAACACTTTACGATACCAGTGTAACATTCCGTCATTAAACGCACGCGTTATTTCGTTGGGCAAAAATACACAGCAGGATGGTAATTTAGGCACTTATTTTATACATTTTACAATAAATTTGAGTTGAAGTATATTTATACGCATCACATCATATACAATATTGTTACCGATGTGTTTAGATACATATTTATGTTTGTTGCGAATTATATTTAGTTCTCTATATATGTGTATATTTTAGATTCATATAATTTTTACACGTAATTATTTAAAAAAACAAATACACGTGAAAATTATATTAAAGTTGTAAATATCATATCAAGGCGAGTGTTTACATTGTGGTGTATAAAATAAATACAATATCTGTTTGCCAATTGCTTCAACAACAAATGCATTGCGACGAAGCATTTCATCACTTATTACGTAACATACTATTTATAAAGTTTTAGATATCACAAAAATACTTTTAGTGAGATTATACTTTGCTCCTTAATACTTACAATTATATCAAATGTAATTTGACAGGGGCGTTTAGTTATAAAATAGTGACGAATTTCAAAATAGGAACATACACAAGTGTACAAGTGCGTTTACAAGTCCAATCATTATTAAAGCCATTAAAAAGTATAATCTTACAAATTTATCTTGTAATTTCGATCGTCATTGCTATCACATCTCTATGATCGAATTTCTGCAACTAAACGTTTGTTCTACGGGCAGTATTACACAGCTCTTTTACATTTATTCTGTTATTATTCTGTTATGCGAGGAGAACGTTGATTTTCAAGCTCTTTATCATGACTAGACAATCGTAACAGTATCACATGTCTCGCGTAACGATTACGGTATATTTTTATAGTAATTAAAATGTACATTTCTTATTGAGATCCCCACGGAAATCGGCTCTATAGAAAAGAAATTTTTGTAAGTCGCTTCTTGGAAACGTCTGTTGTGAAATTTGTTCACTACACTTTGCAACATATTAAATTGCATTTAACCGAGTATTTATTACATAACACATGTACATATTAAGTTACGCAATATAACGCGTTGTTACAAATAGCAATGTACAGTCTATTTGATAAGAGCGTATCCGGCATAACTCGAGAACAATTCATTGTAATAAATTGAGAAAAAATACACACATATCACTTGATTATTATTAATAACTTGTCCAGTCACCTTCGTATCAATAATTGCCTGGCATTGCGAGGCATACTTTCTAGTAATTTTACGGCACATTCTTGAGGTAAAAATCTTCAGATCAATTGAATTTGTCGACTCGTGATCTTCCTTTCTTTCTATAAAGCTTAACTTTCAGCAATGTTCAAATATTTTTCATGGGATTTACACTCAATGTCTGTGACGGCTAATCTAATAAGTTAACGTCATTGTTTTGTTTTATGCGGTAGAAAAATAACTCTGATATTTTCTACTTTTGGGCAGATGGTAATAAAGTAAAAGAAAAAGGTAACTTTGCGCATCTTTTTTCGACATTATTCACCTTTATATATATATATATATATATATATAGCGATTATATATATGTAGCGATTCACCGACTTATTTACACATGCTTTAGACCTTCTCATGTATTTAGCAGCCGCTTAGCGTGACATTTTCGGTCCTTTCGGATGTGTATAGAGAAACACAACTTTGAGTCGCGATGCGTTTATGGCATTCGTAGCGAAATATATCTTTTTATCGTGAAAGTTGGACAACTGAAGCTTTCTCTACAAAGCATTTAGCAGGCAGAGTCCACCTCTCTACCAGCTCCCGTTGGGATTTCCCTTTTAACGATTTTCATGTAAAAGTTTCGTAGGGCACGCTCTTATCAAACAGACTATATACATATTCTCATTGGTATCATACTTCTCACCTTTTATAAAAGTATCTGAATTCGTCTCTTTCAATAGTTTCAAAATTTTCCGTGTGTTTAGTTCGTATATCAGAGATTTATTTATCTCTTAAGTAATCACGCGCTGTATAAATTGTTATTATCAATGGTCGGACTTTCGCTAAAATTTCAACAAGTTGTCTTTTGTAAAGATAAGCACACACACTGCAGTTCACAGAGAAATGACAACGAATACTCATTTCGTGAAGATAAACTTAATGTGCTTACAACATAGGTAACAATTCAATCTAAACCAATTATAGATACTGATGCCAAAAGATTTATAATATCACACATATGACAGATGATTTAAAAAGAGAATACAATCGCAGATTCACGAATCTCTTTACATCTATGAATAAAATTCATTAGTCCATATATGTAAAATAATGCATCTATCATAAAATAATTCTTTTGAAATATAGAAGACAATAGTCATCTAAAACTTAAATTATTGTGTAGATTGAGTATCTCAGCCTGAATTGCGAAATATTGCCTATCTTTATATAAAATATATATAACACAAAATATCAATGGGGAAAAAAGTTTCCTAGCAGATAAAAAACTCTATTGATTTCATTGATTGACAATATTCTTAAAATCATAATACTGCGTTCCATTCGTATAACTGATACGAACAATCATTCTTTGTTGTATATATAAGATAAAATGTTCTTCACCTTAGAAGAATCTAAATATGGATTCAGGATGAAATACTCATCATGTACATTAGTTAAAAATTTCACGCTTAACTTGATTGTAAATACATCAATATTGATATCATTTCTCATCGATAATTCTCATTAATAATTCTCTTTTCTTTCATCATGCTAATTTGTTGCAAATATTTGTTATATAGTTAAATATTTATTATATAGCTTCAGTTACCAAACGAAAATAATACTGTTTGTAATCTGTTTTGTTGTACCAATAAATAATGCCAATTGTTACACCTAGTAAAACTATCATTGTTAAAAACGTCGCGAATGCTGAAACAAACAAAAGGGATATTAGAATTTGAAATAATACGTAGATATATAAATAAAGCTATATCAGGGCATGCAAAAGTGGAAAATTATTAGTAGATATTTAACGCATGCAATGTAGTAGAGCATAATAAATAATTACTGATGATCGCTATTAAACTGATGTTGTCCACATCTGCTATATTTAATAGACACTCTCTTTCCCAGTTCTCAGGTATAATGTCTTTAGTTAATGCGATAAAATTTTCTAAAGGGCACAATGTATTACAGCCTGGTAACGTCATAAGTATCGGCTCCTCGGTACTATTCTTATAAGAAACCTGTATATGCGAAAAGAAATGTACATACATGTGTATGTGTATAATTAAATGTTATACGTATAATAACATACCGTTACAAAATACTGATTTTTGGGGTTTGTTCTTAACTCTATCAAAACTGTAGCACCGTAGGGTGGACAGTGCGGTTCGAATAAATTCAGGGCCATTAGGAAATTTGCAATAGTTTGATCGTGAGCACTGTATATCCACATTTTTCTGTCAGGTTTTAACGCCTTTTGCGATTTCTTCACCATATGGTCTATCATTTCTCCAAGTAATGGACCTGGCAACATATTTTCAGTTAAATATCAGACAACCAAGGACATACAATGCTATTGATAAATCACCTAATTACCCGATTTCAATTTCTGAAGTATCTTGTTATTCGCGTCAGTTGTAAAACTGAGCTCAGCAAGAGGCTTCATTTTGTCTGGAAATACCGACCTTGTCCATTGTGGTAGAGTTTTGTTGTATAAATTCTGAAAGATAAATTAAAGTATGCATTACAATTTTATCAATGTATTTTTCTTTTAAACAAGTCAACAGTTAAGTTATAATCAATATTGCTTTCAAAGTCATCAAACCTTGTTCTTGAAATAAATTCATATTATTGATTTCGATTTCGCAACCGAGTACAGAGACGTGTCGAACATATAATATACTTATCATAATGACTACGTACTTCAATATATAAGGTATTGTATAAGTGTTCAACATGCTCCAACGACGAAATTTTGTATCCAGAGTTCTTGGTCAAGTAGCTGTAGAGCTCTGCATTTTCTTTGTTTATTCGTTGCCTTTCTGGAGAATTCAGGACCTTTTCCAGTTCGCATTTGTATCGTGCGCAGTACTTCTTGCCACTTAATACATAATCTTGGTTCTCTGGAATGGTATGTACTGGGATTGGCATCCATTTCATACGGTCCCAAATTTGGTCCTTTATTGGTGGATAAAGTCCCGCTAGATTCGCCTCGGCTGACATCAATGTGCGATCTACGTCCGTACTGCGAACGTAGATATCATATCGTGTGTACGTAGCAGACAAAAGATGGGAGTATCGCTTTCGCAACCAACGACCAAGAAGTAAATGCTGATGTTTACCAAGCTGTATTTTGTAAAATATCAAATGTTAATACAATTGGTAGGTAAAGATGCGATGGAAAGGTTTCCAAATTTGTATAAGAATTTACAATTTTGTGTATAAAAACAATTTCAAAAATTTATCTTATATATTCTTGTGCATTTTTACACCAGAGAGAATTGTTTTCGCAATCTTTTCTTGTTAAATTTATGCCTATTATATAATCTGTGTTGTTTCGTATCATGTAGAGGCAATGCCAAGCATTTAAATGTTGTGCCAACTCAGGTATATCATGTTTCATGGCAGAATTATCTTAAAAATAAGCAAGATAAATATTTACTTATCATGCTATAAAACATCTCTTTGTTTCACCTACAATTGACTATAACGAACCAAGTTTACACTTATGTTGGTTACAATTAAATCTTAACAAATTTTAATAATCTTATTAATAATAAATACTTACATTTGTTAATTCACCATATGGGACTGGCCAGAGAGTTTCACTGCGGTAAGGGTCGCTAGGGTAAGGAGCAATTGGAGTTCTGTCACCGTGCCTGTATAACTGTAAGACGCAGTATATGTAATATATGTAGTATATGTAATCGTAAATAAATAAATTTTACACGAGTTTGTAGTGTACTGTTGTAAAAATTGCTGACGTGTTACGACGAAAGATAAGAATGTTTTTAACGTTTTTTTCTAATTAAAATTCAAAGATAAGAACCTTCTGTCTCAGAATGGACGGACAACGGGAAATATATATATATATATATATATACATAATATATATAATATATATTATATATATATATATATATATAATATAATGACAATATGGATAGTTGTAAAAAAGGATAGAAATCAATTTATTTTCAATCAAGCTATTTTCTGCTTACAACATTCGCAAAAACAGACAACGAAAAAATAATATATATATATATAATGACAATATGGATAGTTGTAAAAAAGGATAGAAATCTAGCTGTTCTCTGCTTACAACATTTGCAAAAACGATTATGCCCAGATCGAGGTCTTCAGTGGTGCAGTAGCTCGCAGCGAAAATACTCGTGAACACGAGTAACAGTCTGATGTCCATCGCGTAAAGAATTTCCTTTCACTCTGCCGCTGGTGCTCACGCTGTTCGAGCGATTCGCGAGTCGTAACCTCGCTCCTCACGTGGAGTTTGCACGTGACATCGGTGAGTGAACCTTGAACGGTGGAAGAATCGATGATTATAATTTGCGAAGGATCCCGTCGCACGATGTCATTTTCGCAGCAGCGAACGATGTAACCTCCGTGCCAGTCCGTGCGCTTTTGCTCGGAGAGTACACGCTTGTATACAGTTTAATCACAGTTTTGACGAATGTTGTCAACATGGCTGCCAGACATAGTATAAACACGCAGCGAGTGGGCGCTGTTGACTGAATTTTAAAAATCAATAAGATGATAAGCAATAGGCCTGTTCGTTTTGTTCTGCACTGCTGAACCGGTGCATTAAGTTAAAGTGAGACAAACTTAGGTTTTCTCACTTCAACTTGTTGCACCAGTTCAACAGTGCAGACAATACAAACAGGCCTACTGTTGTTGGTCAACTTCGTAATGCACCGATTGCTGTTGACCGCAACAGTTTTTGCGTATTTTGTTCTCGTATTGAAAGAGAACTTTCGATTTTAATTAATAGGTAGTTTTTGCAATACCGTCTCTCTCAGTTCACGGTAAACGTAAATCGTGAACGTTTATTCGCTCAGAAATAACGTTATATGCGATATATACGACCATCACGATTTACGTTTACCGGTATTGCAAAAACTTCCTATTCTCTCCTCGGACACGACGGACAAGCGTTAAATTTCAATTTTAAAGCTTGAAAAAATTTTTAATAAATCTGAATGCGTTTGGATGAAAAGATTTAAGTTTAACAAATTGAATTTAAATATTGATGACGACATGATGTTCCATGCGCGTTATGTACGCGCGTATGTAGGATAAGTGAAAAAAGATAATTAACATCCATAGTACACAGTATATGTATATATAAGCCTGAGATTATGAGAGCGTCCTATTTCCAACGGCTCATCCTATACACGTGTATAAACGTGACTTGCTACTCGTAGAAAGGTCTAAGTCCTTTTAGCTGTGCTTTCTACACTCGTGCTCTTTCTCACTCTTTACTTTCTCTTTACAGGAAAAAAAGGTAGAACCAAGAGAGACAAGGAGCGGGGCGATGCTCTTACCACATCATAAGGAAGTCTGACTGGTGAAACAATTCCCGCTTACAGGCGAGAGGAGTCTTGTGTACAAAATCCAATCAATAACAATTACAAATTTGTGTATTTTTATATCTCACTTATATACATGAAGTCCGATGCTATTTTCCGCTAGGTAGAAACTTTAATTGCATTGAATGTAAAAGTTTCGCACGTTAATTACGTTATGATCCCGTTAATGTAATGCCGATGCATATACACATTAAAATCCCTGTTTCTTAAAAACCCGCATTACACGTAGAATATGTATAACAATAACTGTCATGTACATTTATGTGTACATAAAAATTTGCGTTCCCTTTGTATTTATATTACAGTTTAAGAATATACAACTATTTATACAATACAATTCCACCTTAAAAACCATTGAACTATACCATTGTATAATTTTTTTTATTTACATAATCTACTCCAGGTCGTACACTTTTTCCGAGATACAAGAATCATGCGATTGGTTGACAAATTTTTAAGCTTTATAAAACTGCTGATCATTAAAAAACAAAGTTTAATCGTTCAAAGCTAGTCACTTGAAAGAAATAAGAAGGAAAACATTGAAGAGTCAACTCATCGTAACCAGCTCACGTTTGTAGAATTTTACGGTCGACCTAGCGTGATTGCAGATTAAAACGGTACTCAAACTTTCGCTGTGGATCGATCGTTCGGCAGACAATCTGCAGTCGGGAGAAAGTGCGTGACCTCTTAAACAGGCTCACATGCAAAAATATACAGAGATCGGCCTGGTTGCACATAGATATTATCACAATTTACGTTTACGGACGTAATCGCAGATTGTATCATGCGGATAGCGAATTGCCCTGCGAGAGACGTAGAATAAGATAGATCTCTGTACGTATTCAACCGAAAATCAATAACCCGATTAATCAATATCAGTTTCTCAGCTGCGTGAGAATAGTAACCGTAGGATCACAGTCTTCGTTGGCGGTAGCGTTGTGTGGCATTGATCAGCAGATGAGCGAGGAACGGCCATAGTATTAGTATGGCGAATAATCGCGGCGAGCATTCGTGAAACGGCCACCAACTCGGATATGCGCGTTTAGCGGTGTACTCCTGAAAACAGAAAAACAGGTACGAGTGATTTCACAGCGCTTCTATCTCGCAGACTCGTTTCTGTCTTTTGCACCTCGTATCTTGCACGATTCTACTTCGCCGAATACTATATATTGTTTCGTCATATGATACAAGTGGGACGATAATGACGTACACTTTGCGGCGCCAACGCTTGTAAAGCTTGCCCTTCCAAACTTCGCACTCTGGTCGTCACTCTGTCCAGATCTCTCTGCAGATGCTGTACGGTCGTAGCGATTTGATTGAGGAACTCTGCATTGAACTTGTCGTCTTTCTTTGTTCTCTGTCTACCTCTCTCTCGTTTACTGTCCGATGTCACGTCTACCGCGTGACCGTTAGCGTTAGTATATCCATTAGTTAATTCAGTGTTCTCCTTTACTACGTTCTCTGTATTCGAATTATCAATTCCGTTATTTGCCGTGGTTTGCACCTTTTGAGGACAAGTGGGAGATTTTAATGCATCTTTCTGCGATCTCTCCGGCGCAGACTGCAATAAAATTATTTGAATTATTCGTAAGATCAGAGGTGATAACTAATCCTGTGACTAATAGTTCGCACCGCGACAAATCAAGTTATCCTGCTTCGCAAGAAAATAGATCGCCAAAGTCATGACGCGTTGATCATACGTACCTCGACGGTATCTATAAATTCCTCTTCTTCACCATCAGTGTCTTGTGGTAACGGGCTCGCGGTGCGACTGCTGGTCGGGCTAGTTTCCAAACTGCTTGTTATGTGTCGCGAAGCATTGCAAACTCTATGGGGTGATGTTTCTCTGGACGCTGATGCATGAAAGGAAAGAAACTCAATCAACGGAGCTCGACGAAGAAGAAATAATATTTTCGCGGGAAATACGTGTGTTTCTTGTGCTTCTTGAGATATTTTGCGCGTAGACGCGGTTATCGATATGGATAACTTTGATAACAAACATTACTGCGGAGTCTGCGTTACATAGGTTGATAAGAGGTAGCTTCGATAAGATTATAAAAGCCGGACCTACAGAAATATTTCATCATCCGTAAAGAAGTAGTAAGGAGAGAGAAAAAAAAAAAAACAAACCTAGTGGTGAACCAGATAACGGTGATCCTGGTTGGGAACGCATACGCTCCAACACTGGTCCTACGAGTAATTCCAAATCCTCGGTCGGCACGCTCTCGTAAAATGAGTCCAAACTGCCGAGAAAAGTCGCCACGTTGTCTGTGTAAGACATGGTTTCGACGATCTGTAAAGCAACGACGACGTTTTTATCTGACACACATACGTATTCTGCGTCGGTCGATCGCGAAGAGGCAGTCATAAGACCTGCGTACTTTTTTCAATTCCTCCACGTAATTATTCATGGCCTCTGTGCGACTCATGTTACCGAGACGCGTCCAAGCGTCCCATTTTGCTTTCTTCACCACCTCCCAAAATGCGGGTTTCGTCTGCTGACAAGGTCCCTCGATCGCCTGCTTGTAGTACGAGTAAAAACGCAGCATAATCTCGTGGCTGGGTTGGTACGCTCCTAAGACATTGTACTATCCATTAGCAATTACTTCACTTGCAAAATAGCATGCCTGTTTTTCCTGCAGAATCATAGAATATTCGAGAACATTTTTGAAGGTATGTCGATATTTAAAAAAAAAAGAAAAGAAAAATCGACAACCGACAAATTTCAATTGTGTTTGTCACACACGTCATTGATAAGCAAAGGCTCGAAGCAATATAGACGCGATCGAGTATACTTTTCACGATCTTTTAATCTTGATACTTAGTCGAGTGTGTTTTTTGCAAAAAAACACGAGATGCAAATTGCAAACGATGCATTGACTATCGACTGTCGTTGACTTTTTGCGTGTTCTCTGTTCGCGGTTTCTTCCTAACAATGTGTGCTTTTATTTCTTACTGCGATGGAAGAATCTTAGAAACTTGATCTTTATAAAATCTACGATTCTAGAAAGTAAATTGTTTGTAAATTATTGTAATTACAACAATCGTTCTTATTACAGCAATTATTGCAAAAGTTGTTTTTCCCCAATCCCCTCTGATCAAGGACTTAACAATGTGTATATTTTACCAACTAAATAGCAAATCCTGCTGGTTGATAAATGCTCGCGCATCACGTGCGTGCATTAATACACGGTGTAAGGTTTAAAATATTGCAAATAAAAGATAAAGAAAAAAAAAGGGAGAAAAAAGAGAAGGAAATGAACTTTGTGCGACAGTCTATCTAATATATGGATGCGATGATACTTAAAGTGCTTGTTAGCAGAGTTCCATAATTGCTAATGCAATGCGAGCGATTTTTGCGATCAGTGAAGAGGAACATTCCATTTTTAACCACAAAGCATGGTTCCGCTAGTCTTACGCCGTTAGAAAGTAAAGTGGGAACAACACAGTCACAGTTCCTATGAAATGTGGTGGTCGGAAAAGTGTAGCTGTGTAGTATGATACTTGACATCAAGGCTAAGTGGCAAAATGAAAAAGGTAAATGTTTAAACAACAACGAAAACTGTAATAAGACCGAACAAGTAGTATGAATAATCTGTTACCGTTATCTCGATTTAAAAATTACAGACATATTCACACGTGAGTCATACGATGGTAAGAGAGACGATCGTAAGAAGGGAGAAGGAGGAAAAGAAAAACAGGTCTGTTAACGCGGAAGAGAGCAATATCGACGTAAGTTTATCTCGCAAACAAAAAAAAAATAAAACGGAAAATAAGAAAAACAACAAAAAGTGAGCAATTTTATTAATAGTTCTGTTGTACTTTTCTCGCATGCATATTACATTTGCATCTTCTTAATTTTTTGTGCTTCTACACGTCAATGTCTCGAGTGGCGCAGATCACTCAAGTCCGAGGACTCGACATAATTTTAGAACACGACGAACATGATTTGCGATCGTGTAACGCGATATAAAGACCGGTTACAAAGGTTTGCAGTTTTTTTCCCGTAAGTTTTCGTAATGACCGTGCGGCGTTCGTTCGACGTGCGCAGTCGGAGTAATCGCTGTATTCTCGTGCACTTTTTCCGCCGCGAACGAGGAAGTCGTGCATTGCACGACGATTCAGAGATCAAATTTTTGATATCGCTTTCGACGCCACGAGTGCGAAGTCCCATTCACTTTCATTCCTGGACTCGGTGCGATTCGATCTCGCGAATTTCTCTGCACCGCCACTGGCGCGCGCGCGTTACCGTGCACGCAAAATTCGTCCTTGTTTCCAATCGGCGGAAGAAGCGACGGAAAAGTACGAGGAACAGAGAAGGGGCGGGGAGAGAGGCGATGGGAAAACGACGTTCACAAGTGTATAGAGCGTTTCGAAAGTGTATAGAGCGTTCAAAAGGAACGTGACGCTTATTCTCTTGTTCTTCGAGTGTTTTTTAGGTCGAGGATGAAAACCCGTTCCTTCTTTCTTCCTCGACACTAGGTTATGCACGCGTTTCACCCTGAGGGTAAAAAGTGCAACCTAACTCCGGCGAGAGAGAAGCAACGTGATCATCATGTCAATATGCCCCCGGAGTGGACCCTGCGAATTCGGTGAAAGGTCAATATCCGCCGCCGCAGAGCGTCATACGGGGGGAAAAACCTTGAAATGCCCACTGCGAATCATAAATAAACATGCAGCTCATTTCCATACGTTTATGTTTACTGACGTCCAAATGCAAGAAACGGATTCGTACGTTATTGCAATGATAATTTTAAATGTCTCTCTCCTGCGAATGCCTCTACGTTATTCCGAATTATACCAGCAGGAGGGAACGATGACGACGACAAATATCGGCTGGTGGACTTTAGTCAGTGCGCAATAATGCGAACTATCCGGCGCGTGTTGTGGGTAGTGTGAAGCGAAGGGAAAAGAAGCTGGAAAGGAAAGAAATCAACAAAGGGGGAAAGCGAAAAGCGAAAAGCGATCGCGTAATACCGCTACCGCTACCGCTACCGCTACCGCCACCGCCACCGGTTGCCCTCGCCGATATCGGTCGTTCGCGTTTTCGTCGTCGAGTGTGAGAGTGAACGACACGGTGAACCGTAGATGGATAGAAAAGTAAAAGTCGTGGATAGATAGGTGAAGGTTGTCTCCCCTCTGAGGACTGACGTGAGTGCAACCATGCGCTAGAGGCCCAATCGTGAGAACGCGATGATTCGGCGAGGAAAATTAGCGGACATTCGCTATGACCGATTACTTACCATTTTTCGGCAGGTTCCTGATCACGTTGACGGCGGCGTTGAACTTCTCCTCCGTCGTCATGTTTTCCCGCTGAACGCGAACGGACAGACAGACGCTTATTAGAGAGAGCTTTGCTAAATAAGGCGCGTCTTGGCGAAAGAATCTCGCACGTATCGCTCTTTTGTCCTTGCTTGCAAGCGCGGCGAAAACACACTGGTAAGGATCGGCTTCGCGCGACAACGCGTACCCGAACGACGACAACCGACGACTACCACTCGCGGCGACTTGTCCACCTCGAGCACTCGAGAATCGAATCGCCGAACGATTACCAACTTGCGTGAAACTCACCGAGGGTCCCGCAAGTTGATTGACGTAATTGACGGTTATCGTTCGATCGTTCAAACGTAAGATACGACAGTCGAGAACGACCCTTGAAACGACTGGCGACAACGCCACAACGATGACTGACAAATTCCGACAAATTTATCGCCGCGGGCTCACCGATAGGCGATTGGCGATTGTCCGTATAGTGTCCGTTCGTGGTGGCACGCATGCGCGAGGCTAAATTCAAGTCATTCCTTCCTTTATACTCTCTCTTCGTTGTGCTATATGGCGTTACTATTTCGGAGCCTAGACTTACTGTTACTTATCACGATTTGAACTTTTCCGAATTACAAATTATAATTACTTTTAAGTTACGAGTCATGATTCGGATGTACAAATTATGTCACTCCATTGGATATAATGGAATTTTCAATTCTCAGTTGTAAATTTGAATACAGTTTGTCAGAAATGGCGGAAAACTTAATGCACCCCCGAAGCTGCCAGGCGGCGTAAAACGTCATGCTAGTAATCGCAAGGATTGTATTCGATTAGTTGCACCCTCTACACTTCCTCTCCTGCGCTTTTTCTCTTTTTTCCGCCGAGAATTACTTACCACATGGGTGGTATGTGTATGTGTGTGTGTGTATTTATACACGTCTCATTTTAATTGGAAGAAAGTATATCTGCGCTACAGACTTCCTTTTGACACAAAATTCATCCGATATTTGCATTTGCGCTTTTTATGTCGCTACATCTTTTTGCTCTTTATAGATGCGTAAATGTTTGTCTTTTTCACTTTAAGTGTAGAAAGTGCAAAAACAAATCAAGTGTCCCGTGTGTAGTGGTGGAAGGTAGTTTGCGTTGGTTCGCGTCAATCGTTCGGATGTTTGTTTAGTTTTATATATTGTCCAACGGCGAGTACAGTGTGAGATTTGATCTGTCAATAAATCGCATTCTCCAAAGTAATCTGTTAAATGTGTATTTTTAACGTGTATTTTTCTGTCGATAGATATATTTGTAAAATCTGCAAAATGACTTCATTCGGTCGTGGTCGTGGATGGTTTCTTCAAAAGAGAGAGCAGGATCTTCGTAGACCAGGAGGTGCATGCACTAATGATGTTGTCAAAGATATATTAAACAAACTAAGTACCTATGGTGTTTGTGAACAACTTTCACCACATATGGTTCAAGAGATCATAGATCTGCTGACCAACTCCAACAATAAGAATAGTCTCAGGTATTGTACAGTTTTTGGTCTCATGACAATTATTTTACTCCTTTTTAGTATAATTCTTTATTTTTTTGTTAGAGAAACATGTGATATGCTTTGGAAACAATCCATACTCGATGATACCTTTACTACAAGGTTAGCGATGATATTCAGTGATAACAAAATTACTCTCTTAGAAGATGCAAATAAGGATATTATACGAACTCGTTTCTTACGCTTCCTGCAAGATAATTATATGTGCAAGTATCATGAAAAGTTCACTCGATTGTTTTCTTTAATATTGATATGCTATACATATGTTATCCTTTTAGCTAGGGAAAAAAATAAGACAGAGGATCAAAAGATATTTGCAAATATTGTCTTACTTCATGCAGAAGTTTATTATCACATGAGATTGAATAATGGTCATAGACTGACAATATTGGCTGAACCATTAATTCAATATTTAGGAGATTTAATGCAGATTAAAGATAGCGTCGAAGAGAATATTTTCTTTATCATGATACAGGTAAGCTATTCTGTATATATTGAAGTAAAAAAGTAATACATTATAAATATGTGAAAATATACTTTTTTTTTTTAGATACTTAGATCTGGTAAAGATCTTTATAAAGCATGTCCAGAACAATTAGATGAATTTATAATGACGATTAGGCAAGCATTATTAAAAGAGAACAGTGATTGTCCTCAAAATCGTGCAATGTTATTACTATTGATTGAGTTAGCTAATAACAACTATGAAATTAAAAATGCATGCCTGAGACAATTTTATATTTCAAATATTAAAACGCTCACTTTCGAGTATCCGTTTTCCAAGGAGGAATTAAAATTCAGTGATAAAGAGACGAAGATTGAAAATGGTAATGATAACTTATTAAATATTAAAAAATATACTACATTATGTGAATAAAAGTTGTAGGTAACAATCTACCGAAGAACTTGCAAGAAACTAATAATGTTCCTTCTCATCGAATTTCAAAAGAAGAGATTAACGATGTATGTAACAAACAAAGTCACCATTCAAAAGGTCCTAATGTTCCAAGAGCAATACGTGGGACAGGTGCATTGGGTACGAAAAAAGAAGATGATGTTAACACAAAGCTAAATTCCATAAAGATTACATCTTCAAGGCAGAAGAATGCGGACTTCTGGGATCATGACGATAGATTTCACAAAGATTATGAATAGTTTGCAAGGTAAAGGTTTATTCTAACTTAAGTAAACGATACTTATAAACATATATACTTATAAATACATTAATATGTATAAAGATAGATATCAGTTTTAAGCGTGTATAGAATTCTTTATATGGCGCTTTTTCTGTATCGTAAAATTATTATCAACTGGCATAAGGAATAAGCTAAAATCCAGATGTTACGACAAGGATAAATTTGAATGCTATTAAAACAGCAGAAGAACAATGGATTTGTTCTGTAAAATTATATTTTTTATTCACTTTATTTTGTTTTTCTTTTTTTCATATTTTTGATACTTCATTATATATTCTTCAAGTACATAAAGGATATAGCTAAAATAAGAAAAAGAGATAATTTTATACATATTTATTTCCATTAACAAAATTAAAAAGTAGATAAATTTTGGATGTGATATCCTTTGTTATTATTCTCAATACTGCTGTTTTAATACTTGATTAAACTTCTTAAATGCAATGACACATTTTATAAAAAGCTGCTAAAATACTGCTAAATTACTCATATACACGATATAAGAGAGACAAGTATTTCAAATTATTGTCCAATTGCTTTGGGGTTTGTTTTATTTTGATATTCTAACAAAATAAAACTTAAACTCTATTATAACTGTATTATCCACTATAGTTGATTTGAAATTTAATCCTAACTGATATTTATGTAACTGGTTTGATTCTCGAGAATTAATAATGGAGTGTGTCATCATGATATATGAATGTATAATATATACATATATATATATATATATATATATTTAATATGATATATTGGTATAATTAATTATAATGACGACTTTGTGAAGTCATGTGTATGGATCTTTCAATAATAAGAATATATTCCTTTTATTTTATATTTCCATGCAGCACAATTTACAGCATAATACTGTAGATTTATTTATACGAATCGATATAAAATATTTTATGAAATGTCACATATGATATTGTATATTATTATGTAAGCAAATAGATATCAATGTAATAGTTAGATATAATAGATAATAGATATCATGTAATAGTTTATTATCTGACATTCAAGTTTCCCGCCTGAATTTATCCGAGTTGTTCTTGTCACGTGGCTTTCCCGTCTGAAGTTAAACGGGATTTTACGTTGAACCGCGCGTCGTGATTTGGAGCTACCGTGACATGTCGCAGCTACAAATACGTGATATGTGTAACTAGTAGCATCCAAGGTAAATAATAGATTGTACGATATAAAAATTATTGATAAATTGAGGTGGTTTAGAGTTAAAAAATAGAATAGAATAGAGATCGAATTTTAAGAAATATCGAAGATATTCGATCAAGAACGATTCCTCCAACCGGATGTTAGATTCGCGCCGAGCAGATTTTTCCCCTCCTCCATCTCCCTTCGAGATTCGATTTTGGCAATATGTCCGCAAATTGACCGACGCCAGGTGTACGTGAATTTAAACATTCACTGCGAATCGCGCATTTTGAATCACATTACTAATCTGACATAACCACCATTGCCGCGAGTTGTAATTGTGCACTGTTCTGTAAGTATACTTTAATTCACGTGCCTTCGTAATTTGCTGACAAATTCGCAAGTGTTTTACATTGTATTGATTTGAAAGCGATTAAATCGGATCATTGAATTCGCTCATCGATCGTATCATTGCGACAGTATTAATTAGTCGCAGTTGTAAACGCAGTTATCTCGATAGGTTTCATAAACAACACCTTGCGTCTCATCGTTGTTCTATTGGATGACTTACGTGTGTACAAACATTGCCGCGTAATCTTGTTTAACACGATTTGTTGGGGATACAACGCGTCAAGTAACATACGATTTGCAAATAAAGGTGCGTTTCGTTTAAAGCAGCTAGAGAGAAAGAGACTGTCGGTTGAATATATACGCGAGAGTTCACGTGAGAGAAAAAAGCTTATAAGATAAGAGAGCAAATGGAATAACTTATAAATTTGTGAACTGTTTGTACATGTCATTTTTAATTATGCTCGATAATGTATCGGTATATATTCGATATGGGTGTGAGATTAATACTTGAATAACGTGATATAACGCAATGATTTCAGCAGTGTGTTATATTGTCTAGCTCGAGCATACAACACGGTTGTTTCTTTTATCAATGAAATCTGATCTGACATGTCTTACACCGAACTGGAACATGGTTATCAGGTAAGTGGGATTACAACAATGTGACTAAAATGTCATAATGTGTCGAGTGTCTTACAAAATTTTTCTCACTCAGGGTCTCAAGAATGCAAGCAGACCAATGTTCTACATAGGAGATATAAATACAGTACAACCACCTATAGTAGGTCCTGTTATTCCTTCCATCTATCGTTCATCTAAAAGGGTGAGTCTTTATTGTATTGTCAGTGAAATTTGGTCGCAAGCAAAATTCATGCATGTACAGAGGAATTATACAAAGCAAATTTTGGAAATGTATTTATTTTTAATCAAAGTATATACTGTACACACACTATATGTCATATCTTATAGATGTAAGATAAATAAATGTTTCTAGCTCAGTTATATGTAATAGTCATATGACAATGACCTGTATCTGATAATCTATCATAAAAAATAACATCAGATAAATACAGACATACATGCTTGCACTATAACAAGTATTCCAGTTTAAGAGAAAGATTATTTTTGAGATAATTCAGAATATAGTAACATCAATTTACGTACTTATTTTTATACCTTATGTTTATGTATTGTAAAAGTGACAAGTATTTGTAGATATTTGCAAAATAGTGAAGTGAAAGATTATTCATTTAGAGGTTAGACGATAGTCATGCATACATATATATATGTATAACATAAACCACATGTGTATATATATATATATATATATACATATATACACATGTGATTTGCATATGTGAAATGCAGATATATTTCCTACATTTAAAAATAATGATCAACCAATGTTTACAGTATTCTCATTTTTCTGTGAAACGACAGCAGTAAATATAATTCATTGTTAAGTAAATTATTAGAAAACTCTTGCTTAAAAAAATATTTAAATATTGATGTCTAAATGATCCAAAGCATATATTCTTATGTAATAAGCTTCTGAAGAACCAAAACAATCAGTATAGGCATTATTTGCATCATATATATTTTAGGTTAATAAGTGTTTCTATCTAACGGAATATATTCAGTATAAACATAGGATAAATTTTGGATCTTTATGATGTTTGGACAGGCAGGAATTTACCTAATTGAAATTATAAGGCAAAGTATTCGAGCAAGAATGGTATGCATATAATATATAAATTAATATTAAATTTGCAGTGAGCATGTAGTGCAGATATTTTTTCACTTGTCTACACTGTATATGTATAAAAATGAAATGAAGGTAAAAGTAACACTAGTTATACTGATGTACAGCTATTAATTTTAACTGAATCATAAATTATCTAACCATTTGGGTTGATAACATTTTTTAACAACTTTGTAAACTTTGTGTTCTATTATTTGGAAAATATTTAGTATATAATATCATAACAATGCACAAAAATTAAACTTGATTATATATTGCACGTCATTGGAAATTAATTGTTTTGTTTTATTAGAAAATATTGTATTATAGTTTAATGTTATTTTGAGGTTTTATAAGCATGCTATGGAATATCTAAGTTTTATCATGATAATTGTAATAATAATCTCAAGTCCCACTACAAAGTTTGCTTTTTATCTTCTTATCATGATATATTATTATAGAGTCTTCGAGTGACTAGTACTAATGTGTGACATTACTATGACATTAACTTTACTGTGACATTACTATGACATTAAATTTACTGTTTATTTTCAAAAAAGTGTATACTTAGCTCAGTAGACATTCAACTTTTTAAGAAGGAGATATATAAGAATAATACATATTCCCAAAATGTATGTTTGTAATGATATGTATACTGTGTGATACTGCAATGTACTTCGATTAACTGTGTACATTGTCTTATATAATCATATCATGAGTCATGTATATCCAGTAATACATACATAGCCACATAATTAGTCACAAAAATAACGAATGATTATAATAAAACAGAAAATATAGGAATTTTTATGAAAGTAGATAAAATAATAAAAGATTTAAATTGGAACTTTCAGAGTCAGTTGAGAAAGCTACACATATTTATTGAAAATATTACTAAATTTTTTTCGTGATAGCTCATCAGATACTTAATCACAGAAACATCTTAAAAATTTTCAACCAGATGTAGGATATTTTTTTCCCTTTACTTATCATATACAATTGTTGCAAGTAAAAAGAATGAAGAAGTAGAACTTTATCCCATCTTATTTCTTCAGCTTGTACATTTTTGTTTTCTTATAACAATTTCTTGATTCTTTTATTACAGTGGTTAAAAAACATGGTTCATTCTTCGGCTTATTCGTTCAGCTTGTCAATTGCATGACTGATATCACATTTCTCATATTGTTCTGGATTGTAACAAAAAATAATAATAACAAAATACAGGAAAAAGTGGAAATGGAAATGTGTAGATGAGAATTTCACGCCGAAACACAAACTCAAAGACTGAGTGAAGTCTCATTTTAAAATTCACATGTTTCACGCTTTGTTGCTTGATATACGTATTACCTTTCTATGTAGGCGATAACGTATGCGATCAACGTGTAACTTACTTATCGAAAGCTCAAGCTAAAGAGTATAATGAGTAATCATACAAGGGTTTGCAATGAAAATTGCCCTGAAAGAAATGCTGACGACAAGCCCAGATTTCTGTCCTGCCTTAAGGCATACTGGGTGAGCACTACTTAGCTTGGAGATTTTATGATCTCTCGTCGCTGCTTGTTATATATCGGAATATAGAAACTGCACATTCATTTATAATATAAGAATTAAGCTGTAATCTTCTATGCATTTTTTACAAATTGGGCTATTGATTTTTCAGAAGAAGAGGCGTGTGTGGTAGTGAATTTAATTTTTTTTCTAATCTGTGTAGTCTTATGATTGTTTATTATTTATTGTATACCTATAAAAAATATATTGAGTGCCATCAGGATGTACGATCTTGCACACGCATAACAATAAATATCTTCTCGAGCAATTGGTCGTTTATCACCCATTTTACCTTCTAGCCTGAACTGTCAGAAGGGTGCAGCAACGATGATGCTTATATGGGCAACAGCGATGTGGAAGGAGAGGGGAAGCAAGTCTTGGTTGGAATATGCGCGATGGCGAAGAAATCGCAGAGTAAACCGATGAAAGAAATTTTAACAAGGCTCGAGGAATTCGAGTATATCAAAATTGTTGTGTTTCCGGAAGATGTGATACTAAAGGTAATACTTTCTTCCGTTCTCTAACGTTCGTTAAGCTTTGTTGTTGTTTTTTTTTCTCTTTTTATTTTTTTTTTACATATTTTATTCGATGTCTCTTTCCTCGTTCGTTTACAGGATCCTGTGGAAGATTGGCCTATAGTTGACTGCTTGATAAGTTTCCATAGCAAAGGCTTTCCACTTGATAAGGCTATAAACTATGCGAATTTACGTAATCCCTTTATCATTAACAATCTTCCGATGCAGTATGATATCCAGGTAAAGAAGCGCTTTTAAATTACAGATGTTACTATTCTTGCACTACGTACTATAACGCACGTGAACAAGAACGATTATTTCAATAGGACCGAAGGAGAGTCTATGCCATACTGGAGAGCGAAGGTATCGAGATTCCACGGTACGCCGTTCTCGACAGAGACTCGCCAGATCCGAAACGTAAGTAAAAATTCATTTGTTGCGTTGTAAAAGCACCGTAAACACTCAAGTTTACCACGATTTAATGTTCGATAGAATAAGAACGGTGCACCTAGATAAGTTCAGAAAGCTCTTTTGTTGCATATTTAATCTTGACATATGCAGAATGCAGAATCTTTTTCAGATCATGAATTGGTGGAATCGGAGGATCACGTGGAAGTGAACGGTATTACTTTTAACAAGCCGTTTGTGGAAAAACCAGTGTCTGCTGAAGATCATAATATTTACATTTATTATCCCACTTCTGCGGGTGGAGGCAGTCAGAGATTATTTAGAAAGGTATAAAGAATTATCCTCTCCTACATATGTGTATTCTAATCATAAAGATGTAAAATATGTTGCACATGCAAATTTGTTTAGAATGTAAATATCCAGTATTTTCTCATACGAGAAGTCCAAAATTTGCATACAAGCACTTATCGTATTTGTTCGTTATACAGATAGGTAGTCGTAGTAGTGTATATTCTCCGGAGTCTCGTGTTCGGAAGACTGGTTCGTATATCTACGAAGATTTTATGCCTACCGATGGTACTGACGTTAAAGTTTACACCGTGGGACCTGACTACGCTCATGCCGAGGCGAGAAAGAGTCCAGCCCTCGATGGCAAGGTCGAGAGAGACTCAGAAGGCAAGGAGATTCGTTATCCGGTGATATTGAGCAACGCTGAGAAACTTATTAGCAGAAAAGTATGTTTAGCTTTCAAGCAAACAGTATGCGGTTTCGATTTACTGAGGTATGTTCAAAAAATTGTACGATACAATCACTATTGACACGAGTAATTGGATCACTTTTTTTCTTAAAAATTTTATCATAAACGGTAACACACGCGTGTACATGCCTCGTGCATTGCACCAAAAGATCTTTTATATCTGAAACTTCAAAAACGTACAAGATCTGTATAACACGTATAGGACTTTAATTGTATACCTGTGTACAATTCCACTGTGAGGCGTGGCACGATGACATGTACGTTAATGTGTTCGTGATTGTCCGACGTAGTTATCGATGTTACTCTAGAGCGCGTATCGTGTTACACGTACAGTTATATGTAGCTTCTTGCGACGGACCGACCAGTCGCGAAACGGTATCGACACCGGCTTCTCAATTCGTGATTCGTGTGATTCGAGTGATTTGAAATTGAACTTGAATAATATAACGCGAGTATCGTTTTTCTTACAGAGCGAACGGGCAGTCCTTTGTGTGCGATGTAAATGGATTTAGTTTTGTAAAGAATTCGAATAAGTATTACGATGATTGTGCCAAGATTCTGGGAAATATGATACTGAGGGAATTGGCCCCGACATTGCACATACCATGGAGCGTGCCCTTCCAACTGGATGATCCTCCCATCGTGCCAACTACATTCGGCAAAATGTTAGTACAACTTCAAGTTGGCATTCGTATAGGTGAAAATATCGTTATCAATATAGGACTTCTACTCGTTGTTATCAAACTTTAATATCAATCTAGGATGGAGTTGCGTTGCGTTGTAGCGGTTATTAGACATGGTGACAGGACTCCGAAGCAGAAAATGAAAGTGGAAGTACGTCATCCGAAGTGAGTACAAAATATCTGGAAAATAGCGTTTATTCTTATTGAAAAATATCGCAGGTCAAAATATAATTATTACATCTCGCAGATTTTTCGAGATATTTGCAAAGTACGATGGCTACAAACACGGTCACGTCAAGTTGAAACGACCCAAGCAGCTGCAGGAGATTCTCGATACAGCTCGTAGTTTATTGACGGAAATACAACACCGTGCAGCGGGGCCTGAGCTGGAGGAAAAGCAAGGGAAACTGGAGCAACTCAAGAGTGTGTTAGAAATGTGCGTGTAATCGTAACGTATCGTAATCGTAATTATGTGAACCGTTCCTGATTAACGAAAAGCTCGTGATAAAATCGTCAAATGTATAATGTGCTGCAGGTACGGACATTTCTCCGGCATAAATCGTAAGGTCCAGATGAAGTACCAGCCTCGTGGAAGACCACGAGGGAGTTCTTCCGACGACGGTAACGATCTCAGTATGGCGTGTTCACTTTTTCACTTCTTTTACATGACTCTCTATTAGCAGAAAGTCGTGTAATATATTCCAACGACTACATATTGGGACGCGCGCCTCTCCACTCTTTTTTTTTTTCTTCCATCCAGATCGACTGGGCGAACCGTCTCTCGTTTTGATCTTGAAGTGGGGCGGTGAATTGACGCCGGCCGGACGTATCCAGGCGGAAGAATTGGGACGCATCTTCCGTTGCATGTATCCCGGTGGTCAAGGTAGACACCTTAGTGGTTCGTATCTTATGTTCATATGCTTGCCGTGCTCGCTTTTAAGTTTCTTACACAACATCGAAGATCACTTCTATAATAATTTATCCTCTGTTAGCGAAACTTTGGATTCGCACGTAATACGTCTGGATCACGTAACGTAATTCAGAGGATATATATATGGAGGCCTCTCCGAGGCTTTTAATCAGCATTATTCACTTTTATCGAGATTACCTTGAGATACTGTTGAAACGTACAAATTTTGAACGACCTTGAGATCAGCACGTTGCAAAAGTGAATTGCAATCTAATGCGATTCGTTTGTCTCACGCGCTCTGTCTTGTTAGAGCCCTCGTTAGAGTCTCGAGAGTAGCAAATGTTGGCCCGAGTCGATTTGGACGCGAGTAAAATTGCCAGTGTGAAGCAAACCACTTTGGCACTAACGACCATATTGGCAATCATATCGTAACTGTAGTTGCTAGTAAAATGCAGTACAATTACGCCTTCGGGTCGAATATGTCGAATAATTTACCGGTAATCTCAAATGTTATTTCAGAGGAAGAATCAGAGATGTTACCAAACCACGGTAACCTTTTATTTACGATCCACGCTTACTTCTCATAGTTCTCATAGTAGATTGTATTGCTGTTCTTAGAAATATCGATGTTGTATAGAGTCGTCGGCGCAAACAGTAAGAGTACACTGTACATTTTATTATTTCTCTTCAGTTTTGAATGCTTCGACACACAGCTGCCTCTCGACTCGGCGGAACGCCGAGTCGTCGCAGCGCAAATGAGTGGCATGGTTTCTTATCTAGCACTGTACACACCACACACACACATGCACATCTTATACCACCTCTCGCTACGTGCTTCTTTCTGCGTTTATAAATGGATGTTTTCATTAACTCAATCTTACAACGGCACTAGAAACACTACAGAAACACATTAAATGTTATTTTGTCGTTATTTTTCATACAAAAGACGTCGTGCACGCGCTGTACAATACAGCAGATTGACGTGGAGAGATAATCTTTTCGTTAAAAACCGTAACCCCAGGAGCTGCAAGGTAAATTTTCCAAGCTATCCAAAAACTTGAAGAGCTTTTTACGATAATCTCTTACGTTGCAGTAAGATGCTGATAAACGAACAGTCGTTTGATGCAATTAATTAATAACGATTAATGTATTTTTATGACGATATATCTTCGATGATCCTGATACGAGAACGTAGGTCATCCCGATAGCAGTTTTCCGAGTAACTTCCCTATTGTTTCATGTCGCTGTGTTTTATTACCGTCGTATCTCTGGACAAGCCTCTTCATCGTGCTAATATTGTTTCTCTCGTTGGGAATGTAGGTGAATACGCAGGTGCGCAAGGACTGGGCTTGTTACGCTTGCATTCAACATTTCGCCACGATTTGAAGATATACGCCAGCGATGAGGGACGCGTTCAAATGACCGCCGCGGCATTCGCGAAGGGATTACTCGCGTTGGAGGGAGAATTGACGCCCATCCTCGTGCAAATGGTGAAGAGCGCGAACACCAATGGTCTGCTGGACAACGACTGCGACAGTAGCAAATATCAAAATATGTAAGCTCATCGTCATTATCATAATAAGATGTGTAATCAGATTGTAATTTTTATCTTATCTATACAATATTTTAATTACAGGGTAAAGACACGTTTGCACGAGCTGTTGCAACAGGACAGAGAGTTCACTCGCGAGGATCGTGAACAGATCAATCCGGGAAATGCCCTGAGCATTAACGCCGCTTTGGACTTTGTCAAGAATCCAGTCCGATGTTGCCAGCACGTTCACACTTTGATTCAAAAGCTTTTGGACATTGTACGCATCAAGAAAGAAGATCCCAAGACGAAGGACGCGATACTCTATCACGGCGAAACCTGGGAACTGATGGGGCGTCGTTGGGGAAAGATAGAGAAAGATTTTTGCACAAAGCAGAAACGTTTCGACATATCCAAAATTCCCGACATTTACGATTGCATAAAGTACGATCTGCAGCACAACAATCACACGTTGCAGTTTGAGCACGCGGAGGAATTGTACACGTATGCAAAATCTTTAGCGGATATAGTGATCCCTCAGGTTTGTTCGTCAATAATAATTCCTCATCTTTCTTAGTTTTTTTTTCTTTTCGTGTGAATTACGTCATATATTATTAACATACAGGAATACGGTTTAACGGTGCAAGAAAAGTTAACCATCGGCCAAGGAATATGCACACCCTTGTTGAAGAAGATACGAGCCGATCTACAACGAAATATTGAAGAGTCCGGAGAAGAGACAGTCAATAGGCTTAATCCCAGGTACAATAATTACCTATCTGTAAAGAATGCAAGTTTTCGCTTTTGTTTCTAATATATAATCCTCCCACATTTATAACCCGCCCACAGATATTCTCACGGTGTCTCGAGTCCTGGACGCCATGTTCGTACAAGATTGTATTTTACGAGCGAGAGTCACGTACATTCTCTACTTACAGTATTGCGTTACGGTGGTTTACTCGATGTAAGTGATAGATCTTACGTCATATCTGAGTTTTTTCCAATCTACAACCAACCAATTACAGGTGGTGAAAGATGAGCAATGGCGACGCGCGATGGAATACGTCAGTATGGTCTCGGAGTTGAATTACATGTCGCAGATCGTCGTGATGTTGTACGAAGATCCCACCAAGGACCCCAGCAGCGAGGAACGTTTTCACGTCGAGTTGCACTTTAGTCCTGGTGTTAATTGCTGCGTACAGAAGAATTTGCCGCCAGGACCTGGATTCAGGCCACATTCGCGCAACGAAAGCAGCCACAATATGGTAGATGCAAATTTTACATTGTCCCATAGATTCGTCAAAGGTAATGCAGCCAAGTATATCGGTTATATCGGTGCTTCCTTTAAGGGGGAGAGCGGCGGTTCTGGTCAGGATACTACATCGCAATGTAGTACTCGAATAGAGGAGGAGGACGCGGAGTTAGGGATTATGGAAGACGACTTAATCAATCCCGTGGTGCAGGCTGTAAGTATCGAGACACAATGTGGTAAGTTTTCAGCTGTTTGTTTGAAGCTTGAACTTGAATGTAATTTTCTGACAAGAGTCGTTTCTCACACTATCAGGCATTTCAAACTAAGACATTTCTAAGCTTTAAATATTATTACGACTTCTAGCAGCGCAGAAAATATTTTTGACCAGAAATTATAGTTACGGGCTTGGAATGAAAGGGCTCATTATATTTATTGTACTTGATCGAACTTGATCAGACTTACGGCGGTAGATGTATTAATGTTATAAACTGTTTTATTTTCAAACATTCTCACAATGTAGTAAGTATCAGCGATATTTTCAGGACACGCCTCCGTCGCTAATGGAAACTGACGCTGTAGATTCCATGTTAGATAGCCCGACAACCAGTCGCGCAATCGATATGATGGATCTAGATCCGAACATGATGGACGAGCCGTACGACAGCGGCTTCCTGCAGAGCTCGGCTCCGATTCCCATCAGGTTTGTTTCAGTCGCTCACATCTGATTTGCTTGTACTCTACACTAATAACAACTACTATTTGTAAAAACAATGCGTTTCACAACTATTGACTACCAACGCGACCGATTTCTACCAGAGTAGTTGAAAGGTTTTTGAACAAATACATTACGCAAGGTTAAGTATGTTTGTTTATTTCTTCACTGCCTTTTGTTCAACGTCTATTAAAAATATATAATACATCGTTCAAGTAATAAATTCAAGTAATTTTTTTTCTATAAATTACAGCTTTTATTTTTACTTTGTATGAAATTAGTACCAGTTATTTTGACCGTTTTAATTGATAGTTTTAATGTTAATGTAATGAGGAACAAGAACTTGACTCTTCTTGTGATCCGCGCAGCGCTAGAACAGTGGCCGGACACGAGGCAGCTAGACTGGGGAGTCAATTGGCGGCGAGTCAACGACAGCGACGAAGCAGGGAAGCGGGGACCATCGTTGAGCCACGTGCGCGAAGCTATGACCATCAGCGGCAGGAGAAGTCGGAGAAAGGTAAGGGCGCCTCGAGGTCTCGCAGGTTTTCCGTGTCGGTGAGCGGACTTGTGATAAACTATATAAGTGTGAAGGATGCGTTGCTAACGAACCGGCGATACTGCTCGAGAGATTCTCGCGATATTAACAAGCTGAGCGATCTACTCACATGTGCATACACATATACACACGTATACACATGCAGCATACGAACGTATGCATATACGTGTGCATATACGTGCACGCGTACGGTATCCTTAACACGTTGATAGTTTGTGCATGGTTATATTGTGTAACTATTCATTATATTACATTTCGGAGTTTCTTTTTTTTTTTAATATACATATATACGTATCACCGTGATCGCACCTCACTACAGCTGTCGATATTTCTAGTTCTAGCTACATATATATGAATGCCGTATGCTATCTCCCGAATTATTATGTAGCAGCTTCATCTCGTGGAACTGTATTTTTTATCACGATAAATTCTGTCCCTGATACACACTAATATGTCGATGAACGTACGCGCCGAAAGAATGAACATTGAGACTTGAGGATTTTCATATCTTGATGTATTGGCACTTCGGACGCTCTCTCTGTTCCGGATTACCAGAGCATTACAGCGGTTCCTGTTTTCTGAAACTGAGACGTCCTCCATGTTGTGATCGGTCGTTTGCGTGGAATATGTGAATGCGCATACTTATATATCAAGATGAAAGCACACTTTCTAAGACTAAGACAGTGGCGGCGTTTTTCAATTTCTATTTGAATGACTTTACATTTTATTGTATGAGCAAAAGTAGAAGCTGTGAATCATCGCGTACGACTACTCGTGCTATTTTTACGGATATATATATACTGTGCATGAGACAATGAACGGTACTTTTGGTATGCGTAATAACAGAATAGAGTGGCGCATAGAGATACCTTTTTTCTTTCTATTCAAACATGATACACGCTGTTTCACGCGCGAGCGCAGATGTAATTATATTTGATGCACACATATACATATATTAACGTTAAAGGCATCAGGGCAATATTAGGTATAGCGCTTTTACCGGCGGTTGAACATTCATGGTGGAACATCGCCACAATGCTCTTTTTTGTGTTCTGCTGTCTCTTTTTGTAGCTGCGGACAAGCTGCAGTATCAGAGCTTGGACGCGGTCAACAAGGAAGGTATGTTTTATTGGCTACCGATTTTTGCAGATGACTTTGAGATAATGCACATGAATCTTTCAGTGACATGATTTTTTTCCATAGCTCTTTCTCTTTTTATTTGTTGTAATTCGAACGGATTACTGTATCCTCTTTTTTCATTAATTTTTTTTTCTTTTTTTTTTTTTACGTTTTAATATCTATGAAGTCTGCTGTGCACACGTTGCAATGAAATAATTATCAATTAGTTATTGTTACGTCTCTCTCTCTCTTTCTCTCTCTCTCTCTCTCTCTCTCTCTCTCTCTCCCCTCTCTCTCTCTCTCTCTCTCTCTCTCTCTCTCTCCCTCTCTCTCTCTCTCTCTCTCTCTCTCTCTCTCTCTCTCTCTCTCTCTCTTTTATTCTTTGTCTTTTTCTTAATGTACTCAGCGTTCTTTTCATTGAAATATTTCACAGGAGAGAATTCTGCGTGTTTGATTTTGTGATTATAGTTTAATCAGAGATATTTTGTAGTGATTTCGTATTTTTCGTTGTATTTCTCTTGTAGTGATTTCGTACGTTATATTTCGCCACATATGTAGCACAATTATTTCCCTTGATTTTTATGGGAAGCAGAATTTCGATTTTCGTTGCAATTAGAGTGCATAATCGTTACATCCATATCGGTACCCGGAATGCGCTTAAGAACATGCACATAGTCGGTATTACAAAGTGCTTAAAGTAATCGCCGACTGTTACACTCCCGTCACACGTACCTCGTAGTAGCAAGTACTCTGATCCCTGAAGTTGATCCCTCCCTTGGTGGAATTACTTTCCTCCTACATTTTGTCCCGAGTTCTTTTGTTCACGATCAGTTAGTTCGTGACGATTGTATTTCTATTTTGATTTTAATTAGTCCCACAAAGAAAGAAAAGAAACGAAATGCAAAAAAGGGAAACATGTATTGCACGCACTGTATTAGAAATGAGAGGGAAATCGGCACTCTCTTCCCGAACGTCAGTAGAAAAAGGAAGTTAGAAAAAGAGCCCAACCGGACTCAAGTACGGGACACAATCCGGTGAAATCGATCCGGCGGGATTGAGCACTGCCCGGGAAGAGGTCTAATGTGAATCTTGTTTCATGTAGTCTAGATGAGATTGTGTTGACTTTGCCAAAAAGCTGAGGTAGGAGACGGCGGCGGTTCAGTTGAAATAACTCTTTGCTCAGCGATAGTTGTGCGCGTGGAAGCCAACTAATCTGTATACGCGGCGACTGTCTGGCTCACACCGCGTCCCCGTGGTGTGACCCACTCAGTCGTCCTCCCCGTATCCTCGATATCCCACACTTGAGAAGTCATCAAAGTTCCACGTGATTCGCGCGACTCGTCGTCGGACATTCAGTTCCCGTGGAAGACGATCACTCGTGCGCCTTCTCATACATGTGGACGAGCGTCCTCGAGTCTTCCGATCGAACCGAACGCAATTCTCATCCGGCGTTTCATCATTCACCCTCACGAATCTTCTCTTCATCTCTTTTATCTCGTCTTTTCTTTTTCTTCTTCTTTTTTTTTTCTTTTTTTATCTCGGTCTTGTGACATCATCGTCGTCATCACAAACGTTTGCGTTTCTTCGCACTTGTCGACTCATTCGTCACTTTTTCTCGTACTCTCGGTAGAGACAGCTTCTCCCGTAGACGTGAACCCCACGTAGCGTGTGTACCACTTGCATCGTTTCTCTCATTCGCACACGTAACTAGCATTCACAAGGACGATTCGAAAGCGAGACCGACATCGCATCTCCTATCTCCTCTCATGTCGTCGTGACGATCGTGTAACTAACGCCGGTAGAGCTTCGGCGTTCTCCTAATGAGTGTCTAATCTGTGTAACGAGGCTGATCTATATGTCGAAGTCGTGTCGTGTGTGATTTGGTTGGCTTACTGGTTGCATGGCTATCGTATGTGCCACGGTGGTTGTTGTGTGGTGTGCGCGTACTCTGCGCGACTCCGGGCGTACGTACGTCGCTACTGTACGCGAACGGTCGAAGGTATACTCTTTCGTTCTTTAGTTTACTCTTCATTTCTTCCTCGGCGACGAATCTTTACGGGAGTACCGAGTGTAACGTAGTATTTCCGCTTGTTGCTGTTGGTTGTCTTTTTCTCAACAACACGCGAGAAATTTGCCGTTGTTTATTAAGAGTCTATCAAGGTCAAAGGGCGATTGGTACTTGACGTTTGCCGCGTCGCGTTTAGCTACTCGTAATGTAAAAACGAAGAAATCGGGACGCGAACAGTGTCGGCGAGAGGAGAGTCTCTGCCGTCGCGCGAAGCAAGAGAAAGAAATGCCGCAAATCCAAAGATTCGCCCCGTTCTTCCGTTTCGTTGGTAAATGGGTTTTCTTTAATCGGCTCTTTTCTCTTTTGTTTTCCCCTTCCTCTCTTGCTCTTTCTCTCTTTCTCTCTCTCTCTCTCTCTCTCTCTTTCTCTGTACACCGTTGCTCCCGAATGCTGCTACCTCCCGTTGTTAACCGGCAATGTCCCATTTGGATCTACACGAGCGTCCGCTCTTCGTCACGAAATTAACGCGACGCGTTCTGACACCCTTACGCCTCGCATCACATCGCACCGCGCCGCATTGTCTCCTCTTCCCTCCCCCCCCCTAATCAGCCGCGAGGCCGAGCTCCGCGTACCTGATGAAACCGGCGAGCCTGTCGCAGTCGCACAGCTCGCCGGAGCTGCTGGCTTCGCCGAACACAAGCTCCGCGAGCTCCTCCTCGGGCTCACCACTGCCACCCACGATCACGCTTCACAGCGCGCCGACCTTGGCCTCGGCCGAGGCCGACGACGGACAGCCACTCGCCACTGCCACCCCCTGCTCGTTGCTCGTCCCGTTGATCTCGATCAGCGGTGTCCTGCCGCAGGAGCAGCCGCGGCGCCGGCAGCAGCCTGCTGTCGAGTTTTACCACTCGTCCTATTGCGGCAGGAAGTACGGACGGTCGCGCTCCGAGGCGATTCTTCTCTCGACCGTAGAGACCTGCGGTGAGTGCGAGGGGTCTCCCTCTCTCGGTGAGAATGAGGGAGATGACCGGCCTCCGGAGGAACGGAGACACCACCGGGTCCTCAGGGCGCTTCGCGGTGAGCAAGATTGCTCTCGCAAGGAACATCCGCGAAGCGTGTGTGTCTCCGATTTCGACGAAACTTGACGTATTTGTAGAATAATCAAAAGTGAGACCCATGTTTTTCTTATCGGCAGTGTGGCTCAGATTTAAGGGGTGAAACTGCCCATCAAAGTTTCATCCCCTTTATGCTATCTCGATAATTATTGCAGATAGGAAAAAATGTTTTGAACAAAAATTGTGCAGTTTTTTGTGCCGTATAATTTTTGTTTAAAAAGTTTCTTCCTATCTGCAATAATGATCGAGGTAGCATAAAGGGGATGAAACTTTGAGAGGCAGTTTCACCACTTAAACCTGAGCCATTGCCGATAATAAAAAATATGGGTCTCTTATTTTTTATTACTCTACAAAAATGCCAAGTTTCGTCGAAATCGGAGACACTTCGCGGATGTTCCTCGTCAGTGCCGACGTCGATGGGGATTCTGTCAGCTTTACAGGCGGTGCTTGTCATTTGTATGACTTGACACTTGTGCCAGCTTGTGTCGACACGAGTTCATGTGAGAATGAATGGGAACAGTCTCTGTTAAGAATGTCCCTCCTTGACGAACGATATTACAGTTGTTGGGCGCTCTTCATTTAGCAACACAAATCGATCTTGAACAACTCTAGTCTTGCAGAGAGCTGAGCGTGGTTGGACGCTGTTCATCCACCGGACTTGGGTCGACACGATTTAACACAGGTGTCCACAAAAGTCATATTAAAAGCACTCGATGCATGCGTTGCGTTGTTTGTTGAGGAGGAGCGTTCTTACAAGTAAACCTACCCAAATGTCCCACTCCGATTTTGATGAAATTTTGCATGCGTATAGAGCATCGAAAAATATTAGACACGTATTTCTTTATATCGGCTCATAAAGCGTTTTTAGGATAGAAACCACCTCTAAAATGTCAATCTTTTCGCCTTCTTGTCCTATATATATATATATATATATATATATATATATATAGATGGTCAATATCACGAAATGTTTGGGAAAATAATATTTCCAGAAGAACACATCAGTTGTTTTTATGTTACCAAATCCGAATTCTCCAGAAAATTTGAGACTTTCAAAATGGTGGATTCAATATGGCGGATCGATATCTGAAGAATATCATGATTCTGTCGTAATTGGCATACATTTATTAATTTTCTGCGATTTACATATCTCAAGGTCTACAGAGTAAGAAGCAAATCTAGAATCAGATTTTGAAACTCAAAATGTCGGATTCATCATGGCGGATGAAAATTTGAAAACATTTCTCCATCAATTTTTGGAATTGGTGTATAATTTTGTATGTGACTTCTCTAGGCTGATGGTAATAAGTAAATGAGACGGATACTTTATCCAAATAATGAAGATATGTGGACCTGTTCGACTAATGAGTATATATTATTGTGTGTGAAATATATATTATTAAATATAGTTTCCTAAATTTGATTATTATAGTTTTTAATTCTGTAGACCTTGAGATACATGATTCACGAGAAATTAGTAAATGTATACGAACTTTCGAAAAATATGATATTCTTCAAATATCGGTCCGCCATGTTGAATCCTCCATTTTGAAAGTCTCAAATTTTCTGGTGGATTCGGATTTGGTAACATAAAAACAGTTGATGTATTCCTCTGGAAATATTATTTTCTCAAACATTTCTTGACATTGAGTATTTATTCAGTACAGGACAAGAAAGCGAAAAAATTGACATTTTAATGATAATTTCTGTCCTTGAAACGCTTTATGGGCCGATATAAAAAAATACATATCTAATATTTTTCGATGCTCTATACGCATGCAAAATCGGAATGGGACACTTGAGTAGGTTTACTTGTTAGTAAAACTCTGAAATTGGCATCGATATTAAGTCTGTTGCTTCTCGAGGAGCTTTTCAATTAGTGCGATAAGGTGGAGTGAAACCGACATGTTTTCTCTCATTCGAACTCATCGCACCAGTATGCACTGAAGTTGAAAAGTTCCTCGAAGAAGAATAGACCCAGTTTGTCGGATGTGACGTAAGATACGTTATTTCTCATTGTCGCTGATGAAACTTCTCGATGTTGATGCTATTATTGAGCGATAATGTCTCGCGTGTCTGAGACGTCGCAATCCGATCCCACCGGGATTGCATCAGAGTGTGTCATTCTCTGCGGTAGGGAAGGTAGCGTAATTAATGCGGTGAGTCGATCGAGGCTGGCGTTTGGTGTTCTCCGGTCGAAAGTTACTAGTGCAGAATTATGATGTAGATAGTTACGAGATTACTTATCGCAAGGCGAGATTAGTGCGACAGATTAGCAGCCTGCATTCATGAAATTTAATACAGCGTACGCGCACAACACACGCACACACACACACACACACACGCACGCACGCACGCACGCACATGCATACATATTGCATACACAACTCGCTCAATTAGTCTCTTCAGATGGTTGCGATCGTCAATTTTGCATATCCAGTAATTTCTTTTCCAACACGAGCCGTTCTCACAAGCGTCGATTGGAGTTCCCTGTGACTCTCTCTCTCTCTCTCTCTTTCTCTCTCTCTCTCTCTCTCTCCCCCCCTCTCTCTTTCTCTCTCTCGATCAATCCTCCGTCTCTCCCTTGAGATCCGAAACAGAAGGTCAGTTTATACGTTAAACGCTACGCCGATTTTGGTCGACTTTTCGTTCAAGCGGCATATAAGTATACAAAATATAAACAAGAGATAACGAGAAGCCGGCTCGCCGACTAACGAACCGTTAGTTGGACAAAAGCCACAGTAAAGTTACGTTCCATAAAGAATATCGATCTATCGATCACTTTAACCCTTTAACGCCTACTGGTAACTATAGTTACCAGAAACGCATTTAAGAATCTATAACTTAGTCAAAAAAGGAGATATTTTCGTTTTCTTTGCACCTGCACTGTAAAGGTGAATTCTTCTTCGAAAAAATGGTATATAGATTGTATGTAGATTCGGTTTAGTCTGTTTTTAGCTCAGTTTTAATGATAACATGTTTTGTCATGTTCCAAGTAGGCATAGTAAGCATTGTTACTGACATCTAGAAGTGCACAAGTGAATAGATTGGTATCTGTTATAATTTTATACATTTGGAAGCTTTCTCAGATGCAAAATGTGAAATTAAAAGAATACAATAATTCAAAATGGCAAATCCAATATGGTGGACACGAAAATCAAGAAGTCAACCCTATTTTCGTGAAACCTGGTGACCTACAGCGCTTTTTATGCGGCGAAAAATGAAGGGGCGATTGACAATCTAAATGGTGATCTATAAGATATTCTTTTGAAATAGTAAGCTTGACGCTCTGAATGATAAACTTCACTCACAAATATAGTAAAGTTTCAGCTCAAAAATGTCAAGCTGACTATCAGAGTTATGTCGTGTAGACTACCCTTCATTTTTCTCTGTATAGGTTGCTCATTTCGTATATGCTTTTAGGATTCAAATCATTTACCAATAAACAAAAAACGAACGGTAAAAAAACCAAACTAACGAAACCAACGAACGAAAAGTGGAAACTTCATGTACTCATTTATTATATTCCATTCCGGGTAAATAAAGATCAAGTTCCGATATGAGTTTTGTGTTTCGAGGAATTTTTCCAACCATTGGGTATGATATAAAATTATTAAAACTAAAAAAAAATTTAACCGATCAGGCGTATTTATCGCTTTTCGGGAGTAGTTTCTGCTTGGAAAGGTAATTTTTCGTAGATATAAAATTCTGATATTTTTTTTCAGTTATCACTACTTATAGTCTCAGTTCAGAAAAACTCAAATTTATTCTTAAAACACTTATAAAAAAGTCGGGCATTAAAGGGTTAAAGTCGATTATTTGTCTATCATAAAACTTAAAACGCTGACAGAATTAGAAAATGATATTTCGATTTTTCGAGTAATTTATTTTTGTCATCCGAAAATCGACGTAGTCGAGTATCGCGATCGTCTAAAGACGATAGTTCGTTAGATGGTATGAATATAAACAATAATGGCGGTGATTGTTAAGATTTAGAATGAATCAATCTAAAAGGGCAATCAACCAAATATTGTGGCAAAGTCGTATCTTCGTTTAAATTGTTTCAGTAAAACCTATTAACGAATGATGAAATATTTTCTAAATTTGACGTTGTTGGTTCTCAAGGACTAACGCCGCCTGAACGAGAAGTCCAGCGTCGGTCCGCAGGGCGTAGCACTTAACGTGTTAATGATCAGCTTCGGCTGACGTTTATGGGAATGGTCCTGTGGCTCGTTATTCATATGATCGATTCGCTTTGCTCGTTATTGGCGTCAACACCTTCTCCCTTATCAGCATTGATGTCTCTCTTCTTTTCTCCTTGGTACGCGAGCACGAACGCAAGCACGAGCACGAGCACGAGTCTGGCGTGACGAGGTGCAAAGCTTCAGACGTAGTCCACTTCTGCGACTTTCAAAGACACGCTACGTACAACAATCACCACTACCACCACTACCACCACTACCACCATCATCATCACAACAACGTTCACGTCATTCATTCGTTCATTCACCGTCGACCATTGTTCACGTCACCCTTCCCCGCGAGACTGATGATACAAATACCATCCAGCCTATCCACCTGTCAGTATCGGTCCAGCCTCCAGATTGCCCGTTGTCCAGCCTCACTCCTCTTCTCCTCCCCAGACACGCAACCTCTGTTCATTCAACCTGATCCTACCTGCACAGCAAGGCGCCACCGTCACAGTATCTCCGGACAGATGAGTTATTTCAAGCTGTTGGGCTACAATGTCAGCAAGAAACTCACCGGCTCGGCGAACAGCCTCTTCAGCACCGCTGTGATAAGCGGCTCCTCGAGCGCGCCAAATCTCAAGGACATGGTGCCACCGCACGCGTCCGCGGTTGCCGGTGAGTACACCACTGCCGACTCGCTCAGACATCCGATTCAGCGCGTATGTCCAATTAACAAATTATTGGTTCAGCTCGCTGACCGTCAGAAACAAAACACTTGGACCGAAACGACGAAACGCGTGAAATCAGAAATTAATAACATCCGCGATTAATAATTTCTTCATATCCGAGACTAACAATCTGTCAGACGAATAATAAGAAATGTGAGACGTGCGATAGCAGGTGATAAGAGCAAAAAGCGGGGAATAAGCCGGGCAAAATCTTAGAGAAATCTTAGTTTGTTACTTGTCTCTGTATTCGCTCGTCTTTTCTTCCACCGTTTTGTTTTCAATGAAGCGATAGAAGGCTTCGGCGGAGTACCACCCATCAGACCACTGGAGACCCTTCACAACGCGCTGTCGCTTCGTCAGTTGGACTCCTTCCTGGACATGATGACCAGCGTGCCGTTGTTTCGCACTCCGGCCTCGTCGCCGCCTAAGCACCCGTCGCCAGCCAGCTCGACGCACGAATCGCTCAATCCGACTCTGGCCCACCCTGGGATCAGTCGCGAGTATCACTCTGCTGACACGGAAGCTGTCAGGTATCGTAAGAAGTTACATAAGACGAACACGCGACCGTGAGTATTGACATTTTCGCTGTCGCCATCCTTTTTGCTAACTTTTCAATCGAACTTTCTCTCGGGCGTCGTCGTATCAGTCACCGAGAATCTCCCGATCTTATTTCTCGAACGAGAGATATCTCGTTTTTGTTTTACTCCGTGCGAGGACGTCAACGTTTCCGTGTCTCAGGTACATCACGCCTACTCCGATACAATACAAATCTCTGGGCGAGGCAGAGGCATGCGACAGGGGGAATCTACCGTCGCCTACCAGCCCAAACAGTGAGTTTATCTGCGCAAATCACGACGATGTGATGAGTTTTATTAAATAATCTTAATCACACACACACACACATACACACAGGTACGGGATGGAGCAGCGAGCCGCAGTCTTTCTTATCTTCCGAGCCATCGTCACCGGCGCCAACGTCGACCGGCGAGTGCAGCATGTCCATAAGTTTAATAAGCAACGACGGGTGAGCCTCAACCTACATTATATTATATATATTTTTGTGCATTTTACTTCCTTATGAATTTTTAATATCTCAATGCGTCTCCTACCCTTTTGTGACGACATAACCGATGTACATTTGCCCTAAGAAGGATAACCTTTTTATATATTCTGTATTATACTGTTATACTGTCTGTTGTTAGCGTTACTTGTATTTTAACCGCATCGTCTGTATCTTCTTTAGTGTAATCATTATCACACATTGTATATTCAACATATAACATCACTAGAAACGCCGTCTCTTCGTTCGTTCGTAGTGCTCAGCTTTTCAGCAACGCGCCGAAGTTCTCGACGACTCCTTGTCTGGACGTCGATTTTAACGAATTCTGCATGAGACTCGACCAAGAGAATCGAGAAAGTCGCGGCAGTGTCTCATATACGGATTATTACAGCAACGAGGACGGTCAGATACGCAAAATAACTCAGATACCGCAAGCGATGCAGCAAGTGGCCGCCGCCGCCGCCGCCGCAGCAGCAGCAGCAGCAGCAGCAGCAGCAGCAGCAGCAGCCGGTGGTAGCAGCGGGCAGTCGAAGACCACCGTATGCGGCGACGATCTTCCCGCTGACAACGTTGACGAAGACGAGGATCATACGTTGACGTTGAGACAGAGCGAGGAGCAAAAGAAGCAGGACGTTCAGTTGATATTCGAGCAGCGAGACAACGTTAATCCTGCGAAAGTAAGCGGCGGCTGTAAAAAGATCGGACGGTAAGCAAGAGAGAGAGAGAGAGAGAGAGAGAGAGGGAGAGAGAGAAGAAAGATTCCCAAGATTCTTGAGCAAAGATAATTAGCTATTTATCCTGCACAATTGATGTAAGATGAGATATCTATACTTCTTTTCGTAGCCTTATGTTTGCTTTGAACCGCAGATTCCGGGTGGAAAGTACGGATATAACTCAGGGCGACGTCAGAATTAAAGAGACCGACAACGCTGACAAAGCGAAATCATCCACGCCTCAAAAGTCCGAATCGCCCAAGTCCACCGCTTCGGACAAGATCATGCGGAAGGATTCGAAGAAGAACAGCAGCGGCCAGCACTCGTCGCAGAAACGCAGAAACTTCTCTCGCTCGCAGAGCGTCACGGCGCCGAAGCCAGCTGCGGCGAAACCTACCGAGCCGAGTTTCAGCTACAAGTGTACGAGTACAAAGCAGGGCTCGTTTTCAACCATGTCAACCTCGGATCTGGAGGACTGGAAGTTGAGCGTGCTAAATCCGTCGTCGTATTCCACAACGGTGACTCAGCAGGACGAACCGATACTCACCGTAGTCAGCAGTGTCGCAGACAGCTCGAATGTGACCGTAGGCTTTGACGTGAAAGATGAGGAAAAGGAATAGAGGGGAGATATTCTGTCACGAATTGATCCTTTTGGTTTTTGTTACGATGCATGAAACCCTTTATTTATTGGCGATAGCCAACTGAGAAATACAATACATCACGCAGAGACAGATAATACTCTTCGTAGATTTTAGAGAAGAAAATATTCACTTTTCCTGTCGATTATACCGCATGAGACAAGTATTAAGCAGAAAGTATTAGCAGGACGCGATGCAGTTACACTTTGACGTTTCACAGTAGTTACGTTGAAGCTAATCAAAGTATATATGACCAGGACCACTTAGCGACCAGTTTAGCGGAACTTGAAACAACAGAACTTAAACCACATCTTCCTCTAGAATAGAATGTAACGAGATACTGAATCAAATGAAAGAAAACGCGATGCAATGGTGGTTTCAACATCTCTCAAGGAGTAGCGATTAATCCCTGTAAGTTATATATTTCACGATTTATAAAAATATATTTTTCATTAACGCAGACGTAACACAAATCACATTAGGTGATATTTTACAAAATGAAAAAAAAAAAAGAAAAACATGGCAGGCGTCGAGTTGTGGGTTTTATGGTTTTCAGGAATTTTACATATTCCTGACGACAGTGTTGCGTAGATATCCCCATCCCTTGGAGAGCACTTATTCTAAATAAAATTGAAAGTCAGGAATTTGTGATCAACGAAAAACATAAATCACTAGTGCAATTGTGACATACTCAAAATTTCAATAAGAATCTTTAAATGAATAGACGTTGTGCAGTAATATTCCCAACTAAGATCGTAGCTGTTCTGACTGGAATATCATAATTGTGTGTATATCTGTCTTCTAGAGAGATCATTACAGATATACATAGGCTTGTACTGATGTAGATAAATATTATGTAATATATATATATATATATATATATTACATATATATATATATATATATAAATAATTCAATTGAGGATTATAGCCTAGGGAAGTGCAGAGAGAGAGAGAGAGAGAGAGAGAGGGAGAGGGAGAGAGAGAGAGATGCGATTATGAATGTTAAAAGATTATTCTTAGAAAGAATTGTAAAAATGTATACTTCTTTACGCTGTATTATGTTCTTATGTACTATAGGCTTTGTCGTAAGTTGACGGCTAGTTCCTTAAAGTTACCAAAGGTGCGAAACTTAACACGTACGCGTTGTTTAACGTGTATCGCAGTACAACGAAGATATCTTCATTAGAAATTATATATTCTCAGAGCCAGAAAATACATGTATTTCGTTGATGATATTTCTTTGTCTTTGTATAGCAGCAATTACTGGAATCTAGGGAAGGTATCCGAGCCAAAGAACATCTCGTGTGTTTGACGTTGCATATGGGAACAATCTGTCACGCGTACAGTTCCCAATTACAAGTCAATGGAAAGGTGTAGCGCATTTTATAGAGATGTTATTTATGGACAGGTAATCCACCTGTAAAATAGCAAACGTGCTACATTTATGTGTGCACTTAACATGTGTATATCATGCGTGAAGAAGGATTTTAATAAAATTATAGACATAAAATAAGAAAAATTATTCGGTGATTTTATTCCTCTTAGTTTCAGCTAATATATTTTTAATAGTTTTCATTAAGATCTTTCTCTAGATGCTGAACGTGAGCACTTACAAAGACTGTTGGTCTTAGCGTACCAGAGAAATCTCGCTGTGCACTAACGCCTTCTTAGGCATATCGTGGCCTATTAGGCATATCGATGATACCAGATATGGAATAATGGAAAGAAGGTATCGCGGAAGATATCAAAAGACTATTAATACAGAAAACAGGCCGAATGTGTATGTGTGTATGTCTTCTAGGAGATCGCGAGACGTGAGGAAATTTAGAATAATTTTCATTTTAAATATATACACACGTTGGCATTCCTCAAGTTAATAATTCGAAGTTGAAACAATACTTAAAAATTGCGATCGAAAACACATGTACAGGGTGTTTCACGAATTTCTCACTGCGAGGAATTCATGGAGACATAGAACGGATTAAGATAAATATAAAATTCCCATACTATTTTGCGACATTCGCAATAACTATCGAGTTATTAATTATAGAAATCTGACGAAAGAACACTGGCCAAGATGGTATCCAAAAGGCACCAAAGGCCCAAGCACGGCTCGCACGATCTAACGACTGTTGCCAGCATGCAAGAAGAAGAAGAAGAAGAAGAAGGACAATCCGCCGCTACTCGTGTTTTATCTCGTCGTTCTTGCGTTAACATACTGGTCATGAGCGAAGCTACTTTTTTGCTACAGATGGACGACGACGACGACGACGACGACGACGACGACGGCAATGAAAAGAAGCAACCGATTGCGAAGGGATTGTGAGGCCGCGGGGCCGCAGCTGACAACGACGACGACGGCGACGATGTCGATTATAAATGGATAATGTATTACCACGCTAAGTATCTAAATCTTTTCTTGATCGCACTTGATCGTAGCTTAAGCAGCCGAAAAGTGGCAGAACGGTATGAGACTTTTATGTTTGGTTTAACCCGCTCTATGTCTTCACGAGCAACAGTGAGGTCAGCCAACCGTTTTTTATTCCTCACGTAGATGCTTGGTTCTCAATGGATAGTCAGCCGTCTTTATATTGAAACAAGATCAAAATCCAACAATATTGTAACTTCGTTAGAAATTACGGTAGAGAAATGAATTAAAAATTTTAAAGCCTAAAGTCTCTACTTTTTAAGAATATTATATTTATACGTTATTCATGTTTGTCATTTATACGTTGTTCATGTCATAAAGAAGATATGTCAAATTAAATGAAGAATGGAGACTGTTTAATTTATTGCTTATCTTTCAGATGAGTATTTTGCACATTGCAATCTAATTATTGTAGAAAATGCGATAACGGTATCTTGTAAATTGGAAATTTTCAGCTTTTTACTCGTCTAGCGAGTATCATACAGCGATTTGTTTGTCCAGTGATCTTTGTGAGCGATGGAGTTCAAAATGTCGGTTTGGTTTCAATGTTAAATGATTCTATGAAGAACAACTACACTGTAATCTGCGGTTATGCGTATTAAAGAGAAAGGTTTGCGCTTTCGAGTGATATAAATCCCATTTATTTGTTTTTTATTCACGAGGTATAACTCGATAAATTTTAGAATAAATTTTAGGATTCGACCGATTTTGAGTTATGTCTCTGTAACATGATAAAAGTTAATTAATCTTTATTGTCGTTAATGACAACTAGAGACCTTGAGCTGTAAAATGCTTCTTGAATGGTTTCGTTGGTGTTACTTTTTTCACAAATTACAATCCACTGAAATTTGCTTACTTTCGACATCTGAAGAAAAAATGTCTCAATAAAAGATGTCAACGATAATATCTTTAATTAAATATTAGGGAGTATAAATTACTACAATTTTATCTTATGACCTCCATTCTTAATATTTTAAGTCGAAGTGTTTAATGGGAGAATTCACCGTTAACAGTTTTATGCAGATGAAATTAATCCAAAGCTCGTCCTGTCTCTCGAATCTTCTCTCTGTTCCTGTTTGCCAACGGTGTATCGTCGGCGATTATCTTCGATACTTCCTGTCTGTAATTGGCTTAGCGTCAAAGCGGCAGCCGAGTCAATTCACAATTTTAACGGACACGTGTGTGTCCCGCCCATCTTCTACGAGGGACAGCCAGCATATTGTTTTGCGCGCGCGAGAGAAAGGAACCGAGCGGTCGACCTCTCGTAGCGGATTTTCTAAGGGGCTCTATTTCATCCCTGAATCAATTAAATAGATATTAGCCGTGTCACTTGACGCGAAAGACCGCGTCCCCTCCCCCTCTGTGCACCGAGCGTGCACAGCGTATAAACATCGCGCGTTCCCCGCGTGTCAAATCGGACTGTGTTTACCCCCGAAATAACTTTTGACGGCGCGCACCGAGGGTGCATAAAGTTATTAGTTATTCTCCGAGCATTCCCCCTTCGTCTCGCGATGTTTCCGCTCTCCCTTGAAACGCTCTAATTACACATTACACACGACGTCCCTCGACCTTCTTCCCTAAAGTCCCTCGTTTGTGCTCAGATTCTGTGCCGACGAATGGCGGATAATAAGATACATCGTTATTTATCGACAAAACTCACAATCGAGATAGAATTTCGAAAGAGAAATATTCTCATGATTCAGACATTTTACAGCAGAACGACTGACGATCTCGCGCGCGATAATACGCGGTAATAGTACGCATTAGGTAATATCGCGTCGAGAAAGTATCGGTGAAGTTTGGAAGCAGCCACGTGCGATATATCGCGTGAAATATTCGATACACGACGTATCCGCGAGTCCTTATGGGATTATAACCGCGCATAGAGAGCGGCCTGGATGTTTAATACAGCTCTGCTGTAATATGCGCTATATACATAACTGCAAGCTGACGCCCCGGATCGATGTTCCAGGCGTCGGCGCGGCGCGTCGGTAAGCTTTTCGAAGCTTTCCGCCATTCCGTCATTTTCTGGAGCGGCCGACGCGATACGCGTGAAATCGCGCGCAAAACTGTGCGCATTTTATCGCGCCCGCGTTCTGTAAAAATGGGAGAGTAAAACTAATGAGACGCAACTGAGGAGGGGGATTCGTTAATCCTTGAAATTGCGAACCTTCTCAAAGTCAGGAAGCGATTAATTATATCAGGTTGGTGCAAAAATAATAATGCGGTCTTTAATCGGAATCGAGTAAATAATAATAAGAATACAGACGCATATATCGGTGGAGAATTATATTTATTGATAAAAATAAAGACCACACAGATCTGCACATATTTTCAGTTTCCCAACGGGAAACGAGTTTGTTTCTTTATTCCTACAAGACAGAATTCTGGAAAAGAGATAACGGAGCAACTAGAGAAATCAGCGCCAAACTTAAAATGATAAATAAAACCGCAATTGTTTTTGCACCAACTTAATATTAAATTTCATGTTATATGCATATTTTTTGTATTCTCATTTATTTAGTATAATATTTTTCACAAGAATTTACTTCGAGCTGAAGTATGTTTAAGTTGCGATAATTCGATGGGAAATTACGATTTATATTATTTTACGACTCTCTCTAAGATTCAATTATTGCGCTATTGTTTATCGGTTATCTTTACCTCTGAGAATTAAATCGCGAAAGGATATTCCTTAATATCCTGGAATCAGAAACGTTTGACTCGATAACTCACCCCCATTACCTCTTCAACACATTTGCATGAAAAATAAATCTACTCGAGATCTGTCAGAGAAAATGTCACGACGAGTTGCAATTCCGCGTATTATAGCGTATTATATCACAGAAACGGAACGATTCCCGACAAACTCGCGAAAATCGGGGATAATAGTCGCGTAAACGCCTCCGCCGTTCGCACGTGTTCGTCCGATCCGATTTTGATGCGTCGCTAACAATGCAGTGACCCCGGTGCATCGTTGCCCGCAATGGGGTCACGCCTTTGAGCGAATTCACGAGATTTCGTCACGGATCTTTACAGGCTGTCCCGACGCTTATTACGCAGATTCGTCGCGGGTAACCCTCGTATTGTTGCAACGGCAAAATGTTCCAACGTGAAGAACAGACGCGTACATCATATAAGTGTCGTAATGTCAGCAATATTACAGATCTCGACTAAATATTTTCACTTTGGAAGAAATTGAAGAGCGACCTCTAACGTCACCTGATGTCCGCTTTGATTTCACTTTCATTCTAAGCTTGGGTAAGAATAAAAATTCCCATCCCATTGTGTTGTTTTACATCGTTTCTGCTCTGCATTCTGTTCTACATTCGTTCACTATCGTTTCCAGTGAGATTTCACTCCGAGAAACTTGGAGCACTCTATTCTCTTCATTATAGAACTATAAAGTGATTATTACTCGAAAAATTATATTACGTAGAATGTCAGTGAAGCGCGAAAGAAATGAATTTTCCAACATTTATTCTCTCTCTCTCTCTCTCTCCGCTCTCATCAACTATTTAATATTTCATAAATTCTAATTTCAATCGTGGTAATCATTATCGCGATTTCTTCTAGTAAGGCATTATCTGAACAAGCTATATTTATAATGTTTAGTCAGGCAAAGTTCCAACAGCAAAAATATTTCTTGACTATATCTAAAGTATATTAGGTTCTACAGTTTTTTGTTTCTCGTGAAAATAATATTAAAACGAACAAAGTCATTAAATTTCAGACAGACACAACAGAAGTGTGAATTTCATTCTGTATGTAAGAGAAGTGGCGGGTGGCGTTATAGGATCCTGCTTGCATAAGGATTAATATCAGCACTAACGTTGTTGCTTTGCCTTTTAGAGCATGATGATCATATGAAGATTTGATTGATACCAATGCGAGTGATGTTTTGATCACTGTTGTATCTCGTTATTGTCATTACTTTTATCTACGAATTCTTCAAGTTCTTTGAACATCAATCAGCTCCGAGAAAAATATCCTCGATAGCTTGAGCTGCAAGTGTCATTGCATCATCATCATCGTTGCCAGGTCGAAGCCGGACCAGGTCGTATCGCACCGTCGTATCCGAGTCCATCTTCCATCTTCCTGGTCGATATCAGAGATCAGTTTTCTCTCTCCCCCTCCCCCCTCTCTCTCTCTCTCTCTCTCTCTCTCTCACTCTCATCAACTCAGCAACTCGATGTGGGCCGTATCCGAGCAAGCGCCGCCCAACGAGGTAACATTGGGACTAGAGGATCCAATGTCGCGACGGCGTCGGGACGCAGGCGTCGAGCAACCGCGGCGAGCGAGCTGCTGGTAAAGCCGAGGGGTGGTCACCCCCAACCCCGATTCAGCCCGGCTCGCCGCGAAATTTCGGAAGATGCGTGCCATCGGCGGACCGTCCGATCCGTCAGAAGAACGAGGCGCTCGGGCCCCGACGGGAACGTCGCAGGACGTCGTCCAAGTGCGCGCGCGGACAGCCACTTTTTTTTAATTTTTTTCCACCCTCTCGAGTGAAGCCTGCTGGTGCACCTGCTGGATAGGACAGGAAGCGGGATATGAGCTACACCGAACCGCTGTGGGAGATCAATGGGAATCAAGCACCAGTGAGTTCGCGCTCGGGGTGCTGGACCGACTAAAGCCGGCCGACTCGAGTCGTTGATTATCTTATTTCACCTGTCGGACACAGAGACTAGAAGACAATCCGAGAAATCGGCTCAGATACGTTCGATCGGCATCGAAAGATTTATGACGAAAGCGACGTTCTTTTGAGCAGATTCCAATTTAGAGATCACAAATGTTCAACATTGGCAACGAGGCATCTTTTGTTTCATCAGGCGGCTTTTAGATCTCTTTTCTCTTTTTTTTTTTTTTTTTTTTTTCCGTTTGGTCACTCAGGCCATTCGCGTCAATCACATCGAGCGATGATCCTCAGATGACGATGTCTGTTGGCGACAGGTAATCGCGGCGGAGATGTCGCAGTACGTCGGCGGTGAGATCGGCAGCTACCCGATGTGGGACGGTTCCGTTTTGTACCAGGCACAGCCGCCTACTCATCCGCACGTGAACGAGCACGGATTGTATCGGCAACCCTGCGCGTTGTTGCACCAGAGGTAAAATTGCAAACACGACGAAAGAGTCTTTCGAAACCGCAGAGTAAAGTTCCCCGACCGGAGTAATAACGTAACGAACGCGAGAGGTTCTTCCTTTCTGTCGAACTGTTCCGGCAGTTTGGATCATACTCGAAGAAGTGGGAAAGCTTTCGATACACCTTGCAAAAAGCGCGAGCAAACATGAAATATGCATAAGATATCTTCCCGGAAAGATTGTATCGTCAACCTTGCGCGTTGTTGCACCAGAGGTAAAATTGCAAACACGACGAAGGAGTTTTTCAAAACCGCGAAGTAAAGTTCCCCGATCGGAATAATAACATAACGAACGCGAGAGGTTCTTCCTCTCTATCGAACTGTTACGGCAGTTTGGATCATACTCGAAGAAGTGGGAAAGCTTTCGATACACCTTGCAAAAAGCGCGAGCAAACATGAAATATGCATAAGATATCTTCCCGGAAAGACTGTATCGTCAACCTTGCGCGTTGTTGCACCAGAGGTAAAATTGCAAACACGACGAAGGAGTCTTTCGAAACCGCGAAGTAAAGTTTCCTAATCGGAGTAACAACGCGAGAGGTTCTCTTCCTTTTAGTCGAACTCTTACGGCAGTTTGGATCATACCCGAAGAATGGGAAAGCTTTCGTTATACCTTGCAAAAAGCGCGAACAAACATGAAATATGTTTAAGATATCTTCCCGGGAAGATTATATCGGCAACCTTGCGCGTTGTTGCACCGGAAGTAAAATTGCAAACACGACGAAGGAGTTTTTCAAAACCGCGAAGTAAAGTTCCCCGATCGGAATAATAACATAACGAACGCGAGAGGTTCTTCCTCTCTATCGAACTGTTACGGCAGTTTGGATCATACTCGAAGAAGTGGGAAAGCTTTCGATACACCTTGCAAAAAGCGCGAACAAACATGAAATATGCATAAGATATCTTCCCGGAAAGACTGTATCGTCAACCTTGCGCGTTGTTGCACCGGAGGTAAAATTGCAGTCTTTCGAAACCGCGAAGTAAAGTTCCCCGATCGGAGTAACAACGCGAGAGGTTCTCTTCCTTTCTGTCGAACTCTTACGGCAGTTTGGATCATACCCGAAGAATGGGAAAGCTTTCGTTATACCTTGCAAAAAGCGCGAACAAACATGAAATATGTTTAAGATATCTTCCCGGGAAGATTATATCGGCAACCTTGCGCGTTGTTGCACCGGAAGTAAAATTGCAAACACGACGAAGGAGTTTTTCAAAACCGCGAAGTAAAGTTCCCCGATCGGAATAATAACATAACGAACGCGAGAGGTTCTTCCTCTCTATCGAACTGTTACGGCAGTTTGGATCATACTCGAAGAATGGGAAAGCTTTGTTTATACCTTGCAAAAAGCGCGAGCAAACATGAAATATGCATAAGATATCTTCCCGGAAAGATTGTATCGTCAACCTTGCGCGTTGTTGCACCAGAGGTAAAATTGCAAACACGACGAAGGAGTCTTTCGAAACCGCGAAGTAAAGTTTCCTAATCGGAGTAACAACGCGAGAGGTTCTCTTCCTTTTAGTCGAACTCTTACGGCAGTTTGGATCATACCCGAAGAATGGGAAAGCTTTCGTTATACCTTGCAGAAAGCGCGAACAAACATGAAATATGTTTAAGATATCTTCCCGGGAAGATTATATCGGCAACCTTGCGCGTTGTTGCACCGGAGGTAAAATTGCAAACACGACGAAAGAGTCTTTCGAAACCGCGAAGTAAAGTTTCCTAATCGGAGTAACAACGCGAGAGGTTCTCTTCCTTTTAGTCGAACTCTTACGGCAGTTTGGATCATACCCGAAGAATGGGAAAGCTTTCGTTATACCTTGCAAAAAGCGCGAACAAACATGAAATATGTTTAAGATATCTTCCCGGGAAGATTATATCGGCAACCTTGCGCGTTGTTGCACCGGAGGTAAAATTGCAAACACGACGAAGGAGTCTTTCGAAACTGCGAAGTAAAGTTTCCTAATCGGAGTAACAACGCGAGAGGTTCTTCCTTTCTGTCGAACTCTTACGGCAGTTTGGATCATACTCGAAGGATGGGAAAGCTTTCGTTATACCTTGCAAAAAGCGCGAACAAACATGAAATATGTTTAAGATATCTTCCCGGGAAGATTATATCGGCAACCTTGCGCGTTGTTGCACCGGAGGTAAAATTGCAAACACGACGAAGGAGTCTTTCGAAACTGCGAAGTAAAGTTTCCTAATCGGAGTAACAACGCGAGAGGTTCTTCCTTTCTGTCGAACTCTTACGGCAGTTTGGATCATACTCGAAGGATGGGAAAGCTTTCGTTATACCTTGCAAAAAGCGCGAACAAACATGAAATATGTTTAAGATATATTCCCGGGAAGATTATATCGTCAACCTTGCGCGTTGTTGCACCGGAGGTAAAATTGCAAACACGACGAAGGAGTCTTTCGAAACCGCGAAGTAAAGTTTCCTAATCGGAGTAACAACGCGAGAGGTTCTCTTCCTTTCTGTCGAACTCTTACGGCAGTTTGGATCATACCCGAAGAATGGGAAAGCTTTCGTTATACCTTGCAAAAAGCGCGAACAAACATGAAATATGTTTAAGATGTCTTCCCGGAAAGATTATATCGGCAACCTTGCGCGTTGTTGCACCGGAGGTAAAATTGCAAACACGACGAAGGAGTCTTTCGAAACCGCGAAGTAAAGTTTCCTAATCGGAGTAACAACGCGAGAGGTTCTCTTCCTTTCTGTCGAACTCTTACGGCAGGTTGGATCATACCCGAAGAATGGGAAAGCTTTCGTTATACCTTGCAAAAAGCGCGAACAAACATGAAATATGTTTAAGATATCTTCCCGGGAAGATTATATCGGCAACCTTGCGCGTTGTTGCACCGGAGGTAAAATTGCAAACACGATGAACGAGTCTTTCGAAACCGCGAAGTAAAGTTCAATGGGAGCAACGCGACGAAGACGCGCAAGAAGTTCTTCCTTTCTGTCCAACTGTTACGGCAGTTTGCCGTAAAGCATGAACGAACGTGAAATATATTTAAGATATCTTCACAGAAACACACTCAGTAATTCGCTTCTTCGGCTGAAGCCGCGATAAATTAAGCGGTTATTATAACAACGACGAATGAACATGAACCGAGAATTGGAACTTTCAGTCGTTACACGCCGAACGGTCGCTCGCCGAACCTGCCGTCGTCGACGACGAAGAAGCCGAGGCGTCGAGTGGCGACGGTGTCCCAGAGGAGAGCCGCGAATATCCGGGAGAGGCGCAGGATGTTCAATCTGAACGAAGCCTTCGATAAACTGCGCAGAAAGGTAGGTAAATCTCGTCTATCGGCGAAGAAGAAGAATATTTTCCGCGCGATATAGAAATGGATTAGAGAGCGAAAACTTCCCTGACGATTGACTCAACCAATCTTAGTAGCACACTTTATTGGCGTTACATTGGTGTTACATTAGCTACGTTGACATAAATTGGGGTTACATTAGCCCAATGTTATCCCAATAGGCAATATTGGTTAGACATCAAATTACAAGATATCGCCAATATTGCACAGCATTGTTATACCAATATTGACTTACATTGAGGTTACATTGGCCCAATGTATCCCAATATGCAGCCAATATTGGTTAGACATCAAATTACAAGATATCGCTGATATTGCACAGCATTGTTATACCAATATTGACTTACATTGAGGTTACATTGGCCCAATGTATCCCAATATGCAGGCAATATTGGTTAGACATCAAATTACAAGATATCGCTGATATTGCTTAGCACTGTTATACCACATATTGACTTACATTGAGGTTACATTGGCCCAATGTATCCCAATATGCAGGCAATATTGGTTAGACATCAAATTACAAGATATCGCTGATATTGCATAGCACTGTTATACCACATATTGACTTACATTGAGGTTACATTGGCCCGATGTATCCCAATATGCAGGCAATATTGGTTAGACATCAAATTACAAGATATCGCTGATATTGCATAGCACTGTTATACCACATATTGACTTACATTGAGGTTACATTGGCCCAATGTATCCCAATATGCAGGCAATATTGGTTAGACATTAAATTATAATATATATTGCCAATATTACATAGCATTGTTATACCACATATTGACTTACATTGAGGTTACATTGGCCCGATGTATCCCAATATACAGGCAATATTGGTTAGACATCAAATTACAAGATATCGCCAATATTGCACAGCATTGTTATACCAATATTGACTTACATTGAGGTTACATTGGCCCAATATATCCCAATATGCAGCCAATATTGGTTAGACATCAAATTACAAGATATCGCTGATATTGCATAGCACTGTTATACCACATATTGACTTACATTGAGGTTACATTGGCCCGATGTATCCCAATATACAGGCAATATTGGTTAGACATCAAATTACAAGATATCGCTGATATTGCATAGCACTGTTATACCACATATTGACTTACATTGAGGTTACATTGGCCCGATGTATCCCAATATGCAGGCAATATTGGTTAGACATAAAATTACAAGATATCGCCGATATTGCATAGCATTGTTATACCAATATTGACTTATATTGGCCAATATTGGGGGCCCAATTTGTAGCCAATATTGGCCCGACAATATGTGCTACTAGGGAAGATACGATAAATGAACGTACGAAATTATGAACTTACTACTATAAGATTATAGTAGTAAGTGTGTGTGCGCGCGAGTACGGTAAATAAATATAAGTGTTACGAGTATAATTTACTTGAATGCAATTCGAGTTGTACATATCTCTGATCACTTTGCCTCATTGCTTCTCTCTATCGGCCGCATGAGCCATTTCTCAAATACAATTAATTATACTTTACACGCGACTCAATGAGAAAGGTTAGTATCATCGGTGACTGTCGCAGCATTCAAATATCCCTGGAATTATTCGGGAATTAATGTTGCCCACAAGGAAAAGGGAAAATGTGAAAAATATCATTTCTTCTCTTCAGGTCCGACAAAATAAAATTTTTCGGCTTTCCCCTCGGGACGTGTTTCAGTTGTATCGAGAGGATCAAATTCTGTCGATCTGAACTTCTGTTTCTGCATTATGTGACTAAATACCAATGATGCGATGATGTTTCATGTTCAGGTGCCCACGTTTGCTTACGAGAAGCGGCTGTCGAGAATTGAGACGCTGCGCTTGGCAATCACGTACATCGCTTTCATGGGCGAGTTGCTTGGCATTGAGCCGGGCAGCCCGAAACAGGAGTACATACCGCGAGAGTACTACCTGCCGAATTAAATCTCCCTCTTCTACGTTCTCTTCAACTACGACGAGTCAAGCGACGCCGAGGCTCGACGTGGACGCGCGACTAGATCGCACGTGCTGTCTTCTTCAACGGAATGGGCACGCCTTGTCAGTCACGTTTCCGATCCGGCGAAACTGATGATCAATAAAAGTCTTCCATTATTGATTAGTATCGTTAGTGGTTAAGTGACGAAGCGCAATTTTTAACGCATGTTCGTATGTGATACTCGTTCTTCCGTAACGCTACTGGATCCTCCCATCGAGCGCGGTCGTAGATCCTTTCGCTACTGCCCATCTCTTCGCATTTTTCGGAAATTAAAGCTGCCCCGCGAGGAAAAGGGGAAATGTAAAAATATAATTCTCTTCAGACGCGATGATAACATTTCTCGGCTCTTCCCTATTTCGGTCGTATCGAAAGGATCGAAAATCTGTCGATCTGATCTTCTAGTCGTGCATTACGTGACCAACGATCTCACAACGCTTCATCATCGCGCTTATGGCGGATCTTTTGCGATTAGAGAAGCCGACTATGCCGACAATTATTAAGCGACAATATCAGATTAAACTTCTCTGTCTTCCACTATTCGTAATGTATTGTATACCGTAAAATGACGCTGGAACGATATTTGCAGCGGAGTAACAAAATCGTCATCTTGAACTTTTGCGTGGGGCAAATTAATCCGCGGAAGCGTGTAATATGTCGTAAGTTAACTTTTCCCGATGTCGAGCGAAACTCATTCGTCTTTCGTTGGTCGCAAAGTCACCCTCGCAGTGTGACACAGAAAAGTTGTGTCTTACTCTGCCGCAAATATTCTTCGATTTTGACAAAAGTGATGGCCGAATGTTGCCGATTATTGCGTGGAAATAAATTGGGTGTAGTGTAAAAATAAGTTACAATAAAGTTTAATAATAATAATAATAATAATACCACCCGACAATTATCTCGCAGCGACAACCGTAAAAACGGCAAGAAGAATTTCAAGTAACAATTATCAAAGCTTCCTTCCTTCACGGAAACATCAGAGCAAGCAAATGAGAGGAATGCTTGGTGAAGTTTTTTCGATCGATGAGGCACACAAAGAATCGATTGTAAAAATCTTCATAAGTTAATTCACCCACCTTTATGCATACACAGAAATATAATTTATACATATATTTATACATATATGTCCGAGATTTATTGAAAAGGAAAAATTATGAAGATTGATCAGATCAAACTGAGAAGAAAAGTAAAGTATCATTTTGCAAAAATCGCAATAGTTATTAAGTTGTTAATGATCGAAGATGATTACATTCAGAGGTTCTTCTAATTGATAATTTAAAAATTTGCGTACTTATTCGTAAAATGGTAAAGGACTCTTTTGTTCAGAATAATCAAATCTACAATTATATGACTGCCATTGCTTGCCTGACGACAAGATTCAGGATTCAAAATTCAATATATTATAATTATATCGCTACTCAAACTTTCAAGGTGTTAATTAAAAAAGCCTCTAGATGTGGTTGTTTTCAATCATTAATAACTTAATAGCTGCTGCGATTTTTGCAAAATGACACTTGACGTTTCTTCTCAGTTTCATCCGATTAATCTTCACAATTTTTCGTTTCCAAAAGACCCCCTGATGACATGACACCCTGTATGTAATATTTCATTACTTCCCTTCAAGATCGAGCTCGCCAATTTTCTACCGAATGCGTGAGTGAGTGTCAAAGTCTATTTTAACCGCGGCGTGCGATCAACGTTCGCGCGATGGAAAATCCTGCACGTGCATCTACTGATAACAACTGCACATGTCGCGTTGTATTATCACTGGAGATCGCGCCTGACGTTATCAGCGTAGCTGTAGAGGAGCAGCCGAAGGTTCGCTCTCCTCGCGAGCGAGATAACCGTCCGGCTTACTCGACGTCGGTACAGCGAACGTTGTATATCGATTTTGTGTTCCTCTCACGTATCAGCACCCTCCTTATCGACCCCAAGCGTCGAGAGCCCGCAGGACGAGCCGCGCGAAAAAGCAGCGAGGACAACGCTATAGGACGTGTGGCTGCTACAAGGGGTTGACCGGGGAACCTACCGGGGAACCGGTAGCCACCCAAGAAGGCGGCCTCCTTTCTCTGCAGGCCGCCGAGCCGGCCATTTAACAGGACCTCTCTTCCCATCCTTTTTTCTCGATTCTTGCTTTTTCTCAACTTTTTCTTTTTATTCGCTCAAGGTTGCATCGCCGCGACTGCTGCTCTCGGCCGAACGAGGAGAGAAGCTGAAGGATAGAGCAGGAGAGGGAAGCCGCGCAGAGAGAGAGAGAGAGAGAGAGAGAGAGAGAGAGAGAGAGAGAGAGAGGGAGAGGACGTATTTTAGCTCTCGGACGATGTGGGTGAGCTTGTTAGGCTGACGTCTCAATTTTAACGTTCTCGATTCGGGCGACTCCGGGGAGAAGCCGACCTGACACGTAGAGAATGGCCAGAGAGAAAGAGAGATTGAGGGTGGGTAAGCGCGCGCGAACATCGGCCACACGCATGCATTCGCCTTTCGCGCGTGTGTACGTGGTAGTCCCTAGAGTGTCTACCTTGTGCTTGCGTTGCGTACACGAGTGTGTACACGCGTATATATTTACGTACCTATCTACGTAGGTACGACGCAACGTACGTACATCTTAGATACCACGTTCGGAATAAAGACAAGAGACATCGGAAGACGAGAAGATAAAGTACAAGCAAGAGAGACCAGAACCCGGCGGAGGATAGCGCGGAGTAAAAGGGCTGGCTGGCTGGCTCTCTCTCTCTCTCTCTCTCTCTCTCTCTCTCTCTCTCTCTCTCTCTCTCTCTCTCTCTGCCTCTTGGTTTCTCGGGCGGACGGGCGAGCGGGGGAGGGAGAAAGACAACAGCGGTGGCGTCGAGGGTGAACCTCGGGGGAAAAGAAGAAACGAAGATAGGAGCCTTGGCTCATAATAGGTGGAGAGGCCGGCGCCTCTCGTAGCATCACCACGTGGCATGCGGCCAACTACTGTCTCCTGATCAATATGCTTACGGCTACCTCGCCTCTCTTTCTATCTCTTTCCTCTCGGCGTCTCCCTTTTGCGCCTCTTTCCGGCGAGCGGATCAGGCGTCCGGAGCCGCGACGCGACGCGACGCGACGCGACGCGACGCGACGCGATGCGACGCGACGCGACGCGACGCGATGCGATGCGATGCGATGTGATGTGATACGCGATGCGAGAAGGGATGCGACGCCGAGGAGAAGGCGCGTCAACGCGTTGCGATTAGACTCGCCGAAGGGATCGAGGACCGTCCTTCCTCAGGATCGCGCCGTGTCGTGATTGATAGGTCCCGCCGTGACTATCCCATGCGACTATCGCGAGATCCGTCGAAATGCAGAGTGCTGCGGCTTCACTGTGCGCGCGACGGTGCTTGTCTCGGTACTCCCGATGAGAGAGAGAGAGAGAAAGAGAGAGAGAGAGAGAGAGAGAGTGTCGAGAAGAGGGAAGAAAGACGCTGCATTCGACGGGCGGGCGATCGAAGTTACGTCAAAATTACATCGTTGCTGGAGCAACATATCGCGACCGCGCATAATAACGACGAAGACGCGTATCCTCGCGTCTTCGTATTGTCGAGGTTCCAACATTCACTCCCCTCGCCGCCTCTCTCGCGGGGGTTGCGACCGCAACCGCCCTATTTTCGGAGCTTGCAGAGGTACGCAATAACACAGCCATTGTCGCCATCGAATAAATATGAGACATCGTTTTCATATTTTCCAACGACACAATCTCGATTCTCTCTTTCTTCTCTTTTTGTTCAAAGAGAAAGAGAGAGAGAGAGAGAGAGAGAGA